CCATTTTACAGTTCTGTTTGTATGTATGTGTGGATAAAGAACATTAAGGTGCATTGCTGGTGGTAAAAATAAAAAATTCAAATGGAGATAAAAACAAGAGCGAGTTTAACCTTTAAGTATGAATTTACAGCACTCTTTGAAGGTGAAGATAAAGCTTGAATAATCTCTGAATTATTATGTTTTCCCCCATAGGTAATAAGCTCAATGAGCTCCCTTTCAGAGTATTGCCTACCCTCTATTCTGCGCACTCTTTTTGATTGGTATAAAAGGCAAAATGGCATAGAAGATGAATCTCATGAATACAGACCAAGAACAAGCACTAAATCCAAAAGGTACACTCTTGAATAAACATAATTTGGATTCAAAGATGTAATGTATTACATTTAAGTGTTCAGCTTCTGTTATACTTTTTATTTAAGTGGCTTTTCGGGCATTGAAATTTTGGAAAACAGGAATTTCAGGAAAATTCTGGTATTGGGTGACATTTCTGAATTGTAGGCAATCCATTTTTTGTATATCAATTTGAATAATCACTTTTTAGCTGAATAAGCAAAACAGATGTCTAAATATTTAAAGGGCACTCTCAAGATTCTTGGGCTCTAAATACTACCTATCTGTATTATAACATACTATCATTTTATTCTTCACATCAAGTTTATAGGAGTCTACCCCCAAACCACCTAAAGAAGGAGTGCAATATTCTTAGAATTAAAATTATGCTCCTGGACGATCCCATATCAACCAGAGTATTGGTCCTCACCACCATTTTGAATTTTGTGAATGCCATTTAAATAGTGCTTTTCATCTATTGTGTCCATCTGCTTTACTCTTGTGAGAAGGTACTGTACTGACAATAATCTCCAGGCGCATCAGAGAGCAGGATTGTTATAGATTTAGTAAGCTGCTTGTTCACAAGAATAGAACAGATGGTCTAAGTAACAGTAAAAAACACTATAGATTGCATACTTGCTTTCTCATATACATATATCCATATACCAAAACACTGCAAATAGCTCACTTGAAGAGCTCTAGCATAGTGGTCCTCAACTTTTCCAGACTACTGTACCCCTCTCAGGAGTCTGATTTGTCTTGAGTACCCCAAGTTTCACCTCACTTAAAAACTACTTGCTTACAAAATCAGATTATAAAAATTCAAAAGTGTCACAGCACGCTATTACTGAAAAATTGCTTATAAAATATATCAGTTGGAATATAAAAATTGTACTTACATTTCAGTGTATAGTATATAGAGCGGAAAAACAATTAATTGTATGAAATTTTAGTTTGTACTGACTTCGCTAGTGCTTTTATGTAGCCTGTTGTAAAACTAGGCAAATGCCTAGATGAATTGATGTACCCCCTGGAAGACCTCTGTGTACCTCCATGGGTATGCATACCCCTGGATGAGAACTAGTGCTCTAGCAAATATTAACCTGATCCCAAATAAGTAATATATGATGTTGTATGTTAATGTTCTATTATAACTTTGCCTTAATGAAGTTTCAGAACAAAACCCAATAATGCTACCTAAACCTCATATGATGTAATTGATTCTTGTGTTTTAGGGAACTAGATAATTGGCTGTATCGGTCTGCTTTTAGCAGAGAATTTTTTGAGACAGTTTTTAGTACAATTTTATTCTTTGAAAACTACAACTGCTTGAAAAGTGGCCAATAGTTATTGAAGTCAATTGGAGATGTGGGGCCTGCTAGAACTTCAGTTATTCAATGAGGATATAAGATTAGCATTTCATTTCATAGATTGTTATGAAAAATACACTGGATTTTCTCAGATTATTGTGTGATCTGACCTGCTAGTCTACATCCCTTATATTCATCCTGATCAATGAAAGCACTAAGCACATGGTTAATTTTAAGCACAGGTAGCCTAGTAGACGTCAGTGGGATTATTCATGTACATGAGAACTGTGCTGATCTTTACTGGTGTCTCAGAAAAATATCCTACTTAAATCAGTGGGAGTTTTGACTGAGAAAGGATACAGGGCTGGACCTTTGGGGATTGATAGCCATACACTTAAAAGTTCAATTTTTCTCATGAGCAGCTTTTCAATATACTTTAAAACTGAGCAAACGTTCACACTTATTTAGACTGGAAGCTACTCAGAGCAGGACAATTTCTTGTACATGTTTTATATAGCATCCAGCATGCAGTTAGTATTAATAAATAATGAAAGTAGAAAGCTAAGGAAGATATAGAAAGAGGATGCTGGCTGCTTGTGGATTCTTAACCAGTGAAAGGCATAGAAAAGACAGATAATGTCTTGTTTATTATCCAATCAGATGTTGGAACAGTCAACCTCAAATAAGTGTGCTAACTTGGACTTTTTGCTCACTTCTTAGTTGTCCAAAAATTCAGTTTCATGTTATATTAAATCTACTTTTTACCCTATTGTGTTAACAATTAACTGCACATGGGTGAATGAACTGGTATATAATAGCTGTCACATAAATGAAAGTTGAAAGAGACACCATTAATCTTTCCATATGTTCGAAATACCTCTTCACCCCACATCATACCACATCAAACCACTCAAAAACAAATGTGTTGTTTTTAATTATGTTTTAATTTTAATTATACTTTACAATATCCTTTAAATCCTTTTAATTATCCTTTAAAAAGTGGAAGTTAAATCCTATTAAGGAAAACAGAAAGGAGCATAAACTCTGGCAAGTGAAGTGTAAAAATATAATTAGGAAGGCCAAAAAATAATTTGAAGAACAGCTAGCCAAAGACTCAAAAAGTAACACCAATTTTTTTTTGTAAGTACATCAGAAACAGGAAGCCTGCTATACAACTAGTGGATCCATTGGACAATCGAGATGCTAAAGGAGCACTCAAGGAAGATAATGCCATTGTGCAGAAACTAAATGAATTCTTTGCATCAGTGTTCACAGCTGAGGATGTGAGGGAGATTCCCAAACCTGAGCCATGCTTTTTAGTTGACAAATCTGAGGAACTGTCCCAGATGGAGGTGTCATTAGAGCAGGTTTTGGAACAAATTGATAAATTAAACAGTAATAAGTCACCAGGACCAGATGGTATTCACCCAAGAGTTCTGAAGGAACTCAAATGTGAAATTGCAGAGCTACTAACTGTGGTATGTAACCTATCATTTAAATCAGCTTCTGTACCTGATGACTGGAGGATAGCTAATGTGATGTCAATTTTTTTTAAAAGGCTCCAGAGGTGATCCCGGCAATTACAGGCCAGTAAGCCTAACTTCAGTACCAGGCAAATTGATTGAAACTATAGTAAAGAACAGAATTATCAGACACATAGATGAACACAATTTGTTGGGGAGAGTCAACATGGTTTTTGTAAAGGGAAATCATGCCTCACCAATCTACTAGAATACTTTGAGGGTGTCAACAAGCATGTGGACAAGGGTGAACCAGTAGATATAGTGTATTTAGATTTTCAGAAAGCCTTTGACAAACACTCTTAAGCAAAGTAAGCTGTCATGGATAAAAAGGAAGGTCCTGTCATGGATCCAGGGTGGCGGGTGAACCACTGGCTGGGGGAGGCTAGCCCCCAGCCGGCCCCACCCCTCACACGAGGATTCGCCCCCTTTCTCCCGCCGGAGCCCCCCCACGGCCACCAGCTCCTCCCCCGACAGCCCCAGGCAGGCAGCGCGTGGCCCCAGCCGCTGAGCACAGGGCAGGCGGCCACTGAGCACAGAGCTGGCGGGCAGTGCACAACCCCCTGGCCCTGAGCAAAGGGTGGGCAGCCCCAGTGCCTCCAGCCCCTCCCCCCAGTGCTGGGTGGTGTGGCCCCAGTGCCCGGAGCTCCCTAACGTCCTGGCCCCCCTAACCCTAGCCTCAGCACACTGCTTCCCTGAAGAGGAGCAGGCAGCAGCCTGCCTGGGCTGGGGCCAAGCTGGAAAAGGCAAGCAGGGCTTCGGGGAGGAGCATGGGCGGGGCCACACCAGGCTGTTTGGGTAGGCACAGCCTCCCCCAGCCTATGCGACGCACCGCCCATGCATGAATCAGTAACTGGTTGAAAGATAGGAAACAAAGGGTAGGATTAAATGGTCAGTTTTCAGAATGGAGAGAGGATTTCTTGTTCGGTTCATTCCCTCTGAAGCACCTGGCATTGGCCATTGTCGGAAGACAGGATACTGGGCTAGATGGACCATTGGTCTGACCCCGTATGGACATTCTTATGTTCTTATGTATTTATTTATGAAAAATCCTGCAAGGTCACCTCTGTAACTACAGGGCATTTAGATATTCATGTTTGGCTGCTAGGCCAGCATGAAGATTTTCTATTCTTGGGAACTTGATTACAATTGAAGCAAAAATCAGTAGTGATTATAAAATATAATGTGTTGCTGTTGATACTACTAGGCTTTTTTCTTTCTTTTCTTTTAAGTTCTAATGCGATCTGACTGGAATATGAAAAGGATACTGAATTTCACCAGGCCAAACAAATCTTTTCTGAAAATAATCTTTAAAACATTGCCTGAGGCTCTTGCAAGTCTCATTTTCTTGTCACTGACTAAAAATTATTCATCAATAGTATGTATATATATTTTCGATGCCCAAATTTTTAGTACAGAACATTAGTCAGTATGACACAGTAAACTGTCATTCAACCCTAATTAAATGCAGAGGCCAAAATTTTCAAAACTGAGTGCGTAAAGTTAGCCAATTAAATACATATTTGGTCAATGGTCTTTGAGTTCAGCAGGATTTATTAGTACTCAGACCTCTGAAACCCAGGCCTATGATTTAGGTGTCTAACTATGGATTTAGGTGCCTGACTTTAGGTACCCATGTTTAAAAAATGTATCTCAATGGGAGCTGCTGGCTGTGCAGCACTCTAAACAGTCAAGCAAGCACCTAAATCTGGATTTGGGAATTTAACTTCAGGCTCCTATTTTTGAAAATCTTGACCTAAAATCATTTTTGACTAATACGACACTCTGGTACTGTTTCCACCTTCAAAACCATTGATAATTTAATCAACAGTGACATTGAGAGTGAGATCGAAATACAAAATCCACTCTCTAGATTTCAGTTCAGCATTACTCAATTAGAACATAAAAAGAGAAAATGGAGTACCTGAGTGTTGAGGGAGAAAGAGCCAACATGGGTCTCTGGAGCTGCAAACAGAGAGAGAGGAAGTGAAGGGAGGGCATGTCGACTTCTGAAAATAGATGAATGTGACAGGTCTGTCCTTGTGCTATTTATCCTAGATTTTAAGAGACTGTCATGGTACTGCCTTTCATTTTTTAATTTAGGATTACAGTTTGAAAAACTGGAACTAAAACCCAATTTATGATTATTTGTATACTTATAATTTATGCAGACTTATTATATAAAATAAGACACATGTCTCACTACTGTTTTATTTCTTGTTTTGATTTTGCAGTGATGAACAGCAGCGAGACTATCTAATGGAAAGAAGAGATTTAGCCATTGATTTTATTTTTTCTTTAGTATTAATAGAAGTTTTGAAACAGGTATGGGATCCTTAAAATAAATGATTCTTTAAGAAGTAAATGATTGTGAAGTTGTACAGTATTTCATCTCTCAGGCTAATTTTCAAATTATTATTAATTTATATTTATAACATAAATAGTCTAGCATAAAAATGGTTTCTAAATCAACTGTTTGTTTATTCTGTCCTCTCTTTCCACATATGGGAAACATCTTATTGAACTTAGTATTAATATGGACTTCGTTTTGCCATATTTTTCAGAGATGACATATTTCTCTTCAGTACTAAGCCGTCTTTATATTTTTAGCCCAATTTTCAGCTAGTATATTTATTCAGGGACGATATACAAAAATAATATTGGCATTGAAGTATGAAGCGTAAACTTTAATATTCACATGCCAGTTATGTTTTATTTGTACTTTCAGATTCCACTTCATCCTGTCATAGACAGTTTGGTACATGATGTTATTAACTTGGCTTTCAAGCACTTTAAATATAAAGAAGGGTAAGGCTCTTTCCCACACAAAACACGAAAAGAATTGCTTGCTGAATTGTTTAATAAAATTGTACTAGTTAAAGCAGTGTGCTTTCTCAACCATCTGATTTATTTCTTGCTAGGTACCTTGGTCCTAACACTGGAAATATGCACATTGTTGCAGATCTGTATGCAGAAGTAATAGGTGTGCTAGCACAAGCTAAGTAAGTATACTTAAATACATTGCCTATTGGAAATCAGAGAGATTTTAATTTTATCATTCTGGAAACATGGATATGTTGATATTCTTTATTTTATAGTTTAAAGGAACTGTAAATCATTTCACTTGAGCACTCTGTTCTCCAAAATGTTCCATCGCATGGGAGCCTATGAAATCACAGAAGGTGCAGACTGGGCTTCTGCATCCAGTCAAGCAATTCAAGCTAAATTCAACCAGACTACAACAGCTTTAGTTTTCATCACAGACGCTATCTGTGGAAAGCCTAAAGGGATGGAGGGACCTAATTTGAATGAGTTTTTCTACTATATGCTATTCTTTCCCTAACTTGGCAAAGCTAAAAATGACCCATACCCAGTCATGGAAACATTTTTTTTAAATTTTCACAATTATTGAAGTTTAGAACTAAATTTAAGTGGTGCATTTTTTGGAGATTATACTCATGTCACAGAGATAATTTTGGGACCTGCTGCTATTTTGTCAAAAAATGGTCAAAGTTATTTTTAGGTTGAAATGAACATGAATGAAGCAAAATATTGTTTAACAACCTTAAAGTTGCAAGCGTTTTTTTTCTCCTTTTCCATTCCCTTTTTTAACATAGTCTTTTCTTATATTGCTAGTTCTTTTATTTATCTTTTGTTTCTGTTCATTTTTTATATTGTTCTTTGTTAATATACGCTGTTATTAATTATATTAGAGTCGGGGGGCTGTTTGTGGAAGCAGGCCACACTTGTTAGTGTTTGCAAGACTGGGTTTTAAGTCATGACAAGAATAACAGAAAGAAATAATAACTCACAGAGACGTTGTGTGGGAGGTTAAAGAAAGTAAGCTCATATCATTGCTGAACACAGTAATAGCGATGTATAAAAGGTTATATAGTTTTGTTTTAAAAAGATACACAGGGCTGTTGTGTACCAGTCTCCTTGAGGAAGTCAGTTTCTTTCCCCTGTGCCTCCTCATTCTTTCCCCTATCTAATTTCTGTGTTTAGTTTCTTGCCTACCTCTGTCCCTTTCACCTGTTTTCCATCCCTGAGTTTTCCTCTCCACAGTTTTTAATTTATGGTTCCAGTTCTGAATTCTGTTTAATAGTAAACAGAGCCATAAGCAGTTACTAGCACAACAATCAAAAAGAAGCATCTATCCTTTTTTTTTTTAATTAAATTTTTTACCTCTTATTTTATTCATGGGATAATTGCGAATAGATCAAGATTTTTTGAGATTTTTCAAAATTATTCAATTACATTTTTTAGAAGTTTCATATATTCAATGGCTTGCTACGTGAAGTAACAAAATCCAAAATTAAAACTGAATTGCTTGCTTATGCTAGATCGCATAACTCTCATGGTATTGTTTCCTATCACTGGTTTCCTAGTGTGAACGCTCACAGAAAGTACATTTTGAAGTCCACTTTCTACAAATATACAAGCCCAGAAGCTTAAAATTTGCTAAGCATCCATACTAATAAAACTTGATTGAATAAATGTTTAAAGAAAGCAAACAGAAAAGGGGCATGGGCAGTACAAAGTACATTTGTTTAATAATTCAATATAATATTCATAGAAATATTCACCAGTAAGACATTCATCAGGAAATTAAAATTCCGTTAGTTAGTTATTGAGCCAGGATTCCTGAATGATTACTGAATTACAAGGAAAACAGATGACATGAGAGTACATATGAAATAATTTGATATCATTGGTGGATAAGTCATTGAACTGTACAAAGTGATCATGTGTAAATAAGAGGTGGTTTTGTGGAAAACACAATAAGGCCTTGATCTTGCAGCTTCTTGTGCCTGGGCATACGGCTGCACTTGCATGGAGTCCTATGGAAACCAGTTAGGATCTCCACATTCATAAAAGTTCATCTACAAGAAAAAGTTGCAGAATCATTTTCTCATTTATATAGGTTTCTGACCTGAGTTTCCATAAAATTTTAATTAATCTAATCACTATAGGCCTGATCCTGAAAATACCTGCACATACGTTTGTTTTACACATATTAGTAGTCCCGTTGACTTCTTTGAGACTGCTCATACAACTACTCTCATGACTAAACTACTCATATGAGTATTCACATGATCCAATGTTTGCAGGTCAGGGCCTATATTAAGGAGTGTATTTTCAGCCTGATTTGTGCCATTTTAACTGCATTAACATTGGTGGTGTTAATGTGTTTTAAATAATTGTTTAAAAGATTCTACCTACATTATTATCTATATTCAATTTTTTAAAATGTTTATTCTGCAGCAGCAAATTGAAATAGATGAAAAAGTATTATGTCTGAACAACAGATTTGAGGGAATTATTATATAATTATTATATCATATATCTCTTGTTTACTATGTGAAATCATTCTAAGTTGAATCTCAATAGAAAGTTAGAGTGGATGAGCTACCAACATAGAATTAAAAATTGTAACCTTTATCATAGTAGATTCCTGTTCCATGCCTTTGGATGACAATGAGTAATTGAAATGTCCTTGGGCACAGTACACTGTAAAGTTGCAGTTTCCCAATGTATGTCAAATAATACCACCACCTTCTAAAATATATTAGTATAGTGGTTACCATTTAAAAAATCAGCATTTACCATCAGTTACTTACTACCCTGTGGTATCTGAGAAACCACAGTATTTTCTTACACTTGGAATAGAAATTATCTCTGGTACCTAAGATACAATGGTGTTGTAACAACTATCAAGAAAATCTGAAGGCTAGCACAACCTATCTGAATATTTTTATGGTTATCATTTGAACATTTTCCTTTGAAAACTTGACACATGCTTGCAATAAAAATGTCTTTTATCCTGGATTTTCAAAAAAGTATGAAGAATTATTTTATGGTAGAGTTAGCTTATGTATAAAAAGAAGCACAGTGAATTAAAATTAGGAAAGTTCATTAGATACAGTAATGGGATAGGTCTAAGATCAGGCAATAAGATTTTCTCTCATTCTCCAAGCTTGTGGGAACTGGGAGCGCTATGGAAACAGTACACTCAGCCTTTGGGAGGAAGGGGAGCATTTTGCATTGCTCTCAATCCATCCATCCTGTCGATCTCTCTTTAATGTTTACAGGCACTAAGGGAGTTATGTTCAGCCATCTTTGGCCATAAAGATGTGGCAACTTAATGAAGAGGTTTTGAAGAGGGAACTATTGGGAAAATGGGAATGAGAGAGAGAAGCATCCCAGAGGACAGTGCGCACACACACATATACCCTAAATAAAAAAAACACACCTAGTAAGATATATTAAAACTCAAATAACTATTAATTATAGAATAAAAGAGATATAATAATTATTATATATTATATAATAATATATATATATATCTTTTATTGTTTCTCTTCTAGGTACCTTACAATACATGTCAAATCTTACTATCAGTCTATTGTTTTGTAACTAATCAGTGTGATTTCATAGATTTCCTGCTGTGAAGAAGAAATTCATGGCAGAATTAAAAGAGCTGCGGCATAAAGAGCAAAGCCCCTATGTGGTTCAAAGCATTATCAGTCTAATAATGGGGATGAAATTCTTTCGCATTAAGATGTATCCCGTGGAGGACTTTGAAGCCTCTCTTCAGTTTATGCAGGTAACATTCTTTAATATAGACCACACTTGGGCTGTCTTAAACAGTTTAATATATACTTGATCATAAGCCGGTTCGTTTATAAGCCGACCTCCCCAAGATGGATAAGTAAAAATGGAAAATGTTTATAACCCATTCATAAGCCGACCCTATAATTCAGGAGTCAGCAAACTTTGGCTCCTGGCCATCAGGATAAGCCGCTGGTGGGCCAAGATGGTTTGTTTACCTCGAACGTCCGCAGGCACGGAGGTAAACGTAAGTAAACAAAGTGTCTTGGCGCACCAGCTGCTTACCCTGCCGGGCCGGGACAGCAACTCGTGGGGAAATTTTTTGTGGGGGAGTAACCCCTGTGACCACCCCCCACATGACCCCACCCCTAGCCCGGGACCCCCACACTCTCCCCATCCCATTCTTTCCCACCTTATCTGGGGAGGGCCAGGGGAGGAAGTCTCAGGCCTGGCTGGAGCTGCTCCGGCAGGCTGGACAGTGCGGCCGCAGCCTGCTCCTGCAGGCCAGACCAGGTGACGCGGCTGCAGCATGTTCCAGCAGGCTGGGCCGGGTGGCACGGCTGCAGCATGCTCCGGCAGGCCAGGTGGCACAGCCACAGCCTGCTCTTGGGGGTGGGGCTGAGCGGCATGGCTGCAGCCTGCCAGCCCTAGAGCTGCAGCTGCTTCGGAGCCTGGGGGGAGAGCAGCGTGGCCAGAAGCGGAGAGACTCTGGCCCCGCCTCTTCCCTTCTGGCTCTGCTGGCTGTGCTGCCTCTCCTTGCTCCCTCTGTTGGGGGGAGAGGCTGTGTCCCACCTCTCCCTCTCTATACCCGTTCATAATCCAACCCCCTTCTCAGGTGCTTCCCTTTTTTACTAAAAAAATTTGGCTTATGAACGAGTATATACGGTATATCATGCTGTAAAAGGCAGGGAAAATCATATTAGAACTTTAAAAAAATCCTCATTTTTTGGTCCTTAATGCACAAAGGACACTATTCCTAAAAGATTAGCTTACATGTGGGTATCTTTATTCTTTTTCTCTCTGGGCATTTTTTGTGACAGATGGACACATTGGCAGTCGCCATTAATTTTTTTTAAAAATCCTATTAAAAATACATGCTTTTTTACTGGCCTGTGTATGGAGACTAGCTGAGTGAAGATTTCTCAGAGATAAAAATCAATATACCCTATGGTAATGTTAGGTGTCCTAAAGTAAGTATTTGAAAAATTAATACAAATATATATTTTGTTTTCTATAAAACCTAAATAGCAACTGCATAAGTTTTATTTTGGCAAAATGCTTTATATCATATTTAGCAACATAGAAACAATCTCTTTTTCCTCTTCTCTTTGGAGCAGCACACCCACAGTCCATCTTGGTTATGTTTCCGTGTGTGCAGCCACATTCATGAATACTGACATAATTTCATATCAGTTACACAGAGGTGTCATGTTGCACAATTTTGTGTGTGTCAAATGTACATTGGTGGTATGAATAAATGGTAATGTTTTCTGATAGTACAGTACTATTGGGGCCCATTCTTGCTCCCTTTGAAGGCAATGGCAAAATTTCCATTTATTTGAAGCAAGATTCAAATTGAATCTATCTAGATTTTTGTACTGTAGTCATCACCATACTATCTGAGTGCCAAACTCACCATCACGCACAGAATATAAATGTATTATAATAGGTGTTAAAAGTATGTATTAAAATCAGCCATACATGATGTGTTTTATAATACAGCTTGCACTTTACACATATATTTACAGTATAATAATTATAAACTACGGGCTATATTGAAATTGGTTTACACGCCCAGGCAAGGGAGGAAAAGATAGTGAGAACCATCCTTGTATGCTATATAGGCTGTGTGCTAACTAAGGCAGGGAGACGCACTGTCCCAGATAGCACTTTTTCCATACCCACATAAAAGGGTAATTGCAGAATTGTCAGGATGGGGTGAATTTATAAAGGGCCTTCACCAACTCATTGGATGTGCTGATGACCTGGCTATTGTAGGAGATAAAAGGAAAACCCTTATAAGGCCTATATTTTATATGGATGAGAGACCTGGCCTCTTGCTAAAAAGAAAGAAAAGCAACTAACGACCTTCAAAAATAAAGTCTTGAGATGAGTTTTGGGGGTATTAAGGGAGAATGATATATAGAGCAGATCTAATAGGGAACTGTTGGAAGTCTATGAAGAGCCAACTACAGTAACTCCTCTCTTAACATTGTAGTTATGTTCCTGAAAAATGCTACTTTAAGCAAAACGATGTTAAGCTAATCATAGAATATCAGGGTTGGAAGGGACCTCAGGAGGTCATCCAACCCCCTGCTCAAAGGAGGACCAATTCCCAACTAAATCTTCCCAGCCAGGGCTTTGTCAAGCCTGACCTTAAAAACCTCTAAAGAAGGAGATTCCACCACTTCCCCAGGTAACCCATTCCAGTGCTTCACCACCCTGCTAGTGAAAAAGTTTTTCCTAATATCCAACCTAAACCTCCCCCACTGCAACTTGAGACCATTACTCCTTGTTCTGTCATCCGCTACTAGAGAACAGTCTAGATCCATCCTCTTTGGAACCCCCTTTCAGGTAGTTGAAAGCAGCTATCAAATCCCCCCTCATTCTTCTCTTCTGCAGACTAAACAATCCCAGTTCCCTCAGCCTCTCCTCGTAAGTCATGTGCTCCAGCCCACTAATCATTTTTGTTGCCCTCCGCTGGACTCTTTCCAATTTTTCCACATCCTTCTTGTAGGGTGGGGCCCAAAACTGGACACAGTACCCCAGATGAGGCCTCACCAATGTTGAATAGAGGGGAATGATCACATCCCTCGATCTGCTGGCAATGCCCCTACTTATACAGCCCAAAATGCCGTTAGACTTCTTGGCAACAAGGGCACATTGTTGACTCATATCCAGCTTCTCGTCCACTGTAACCCCTAGGTCCTTTTCTGCAGAACTGCTGCCTAGCCATTCAGTCCCTAGTCTGTAGCAGTGCATGGGATTCTTCCGTCCTAAATGCAGGACTCTGCACTTGTCCTTGTTGAACCTCATCAGGTTTCTTTTGGTCCAATCCTCTAATTTGTCTAGTCCAATCCTCTAATTTGTCTAATCCAATTTCCCCTTAAGAATTAATGCAAATGCGGGGGTAGGGGATGGGTTCCAGGGAATTTTTTTTTTGCCAGACAAAAGACATTATATACATATACAGTATAAGTTATACATAATTTTAAACAAACAATTTAATACTGTACTCCCTAATGATGATTGTGAAGCTTGGTTGAAGCAGAGGCATAGCGGGGTCAGGACGCGGGGCCTTGCCCCGCTCCACCCACCAGGCATTCCAGCTGGGGAGTGGGGTCGGGGCATGGGGGCTTGCCCCATTCCGTCCGGCGCTCCAGCCGGGGAGCAGGGTCCGGGGCTTGCCCACTCCCTGGCTGGAATGCCGAGTGGGCGGAGTGGGGCGAGCCAAACAACCTTATATTGGAACATTGCGTGACCTTAAATGAGTATGTTCTCGAATAGATTAGCAACCTAATAACGAAACAATGTTAACCGGGACGACTTTAAGTGAGGAGTTACTGTATAGTAAATGTAGTGAAATCTCAACAACTCCAGTGGGCAGGGCATGTACTTAGGACAGCAGAAGACAGACCAGCTAAGCCTTTCTTGGAGGGACATCCATATGGTGTCTCACCATCGAAGAAGAAGATGGAGGGATAATGTTGATCAAGACCTGAGAGCTCTTAATGTGAATTATCATCAATGGGGAAAAAATGCTCTTCACAGGAAGGGATGGAGGCAAATCGTGAGGGTGGCCAAGGACCTGTATTGTCTATAGACCCAGGGAGGAGGAAGAGTATCTGTCTGGGCCTTGGGCCAAGATATGCAGGAGTAACTGGAGCTAGGTGCCTGTTTACTCCGTTTCCAGAGCAGTTGAGGAGAGAGGAGTGTGGAATGGGCACATCCTTGTCTCCTTCCTCTCCACTCACTGACCAATATAGCTATGGGGATGGGTAGTAGTTTATTGCGGGTATAGCCCCATAATAAATTACTACCCTCCACAGTGAAGAGCTCCATTCTGAGCCACAATTCATGCCCTCACAATTACTGTAGGCCAGGGGTTGGCAACCTTTCAGAAGTGGTGTGCCAAGTCATCATTTATTCACTCTAATGTAAGGTTTCGCATGACAGTAATACATTTTAATGTTTTTAGAAGGTCTCTTTCTAGAAGTCTATAATATATAACTAAACTATCGTTGTATGTAAAGTAAATACGGTTTTTAAAATGTTTAAGAAGCTTCCTTTAAAATTAAATTAAAATGCAGAGCCCCCCGGACCGGTGGCCAGGACCCGGGCAGTGAGTGTGCCACTGAAAATCAGCTCGTGTGCCACCTTTGGCACGTGTGTCATAGGTTGCCTACCCCGCTGTAGGCCGTGTCCTTGAAACATAATCTAACCCAAAATATTTAGGGCAGGATTGTCCCTTGGTTCACGTACCCACTTGGTGGAATAAAGAGACAAAAGGGGATTCCATATTCCCTTCTGTGGGCTATGTTCCAGATGGATCCGAATGCAGGGCTGTTACTACTGCTCCCACAGAGAGGCTAGGCAGGGATGGGGATTGTCGGAAGCCTTGCATTTGGCCCCCCAATTAACCAGCCTGCACAAGCTAAAGCAAATGGAGAGTCATGGACAGAGCCACAATTCCCTCCTGATCTATTGCTAGGACTATGCACTGCCTCATACCTAGGGCAGATTGTGAATGTGGAACCTAAATCTTAATTGACATATAAAATGTTCTTTGCAGTATAAGAAAAAAAAGCTATCACATATGCTTTTAGCAAACATTGAGATGTCTTTATTCCACCTGATGTGCAATTTTTTTTTCTTCTCTTTAATTGTCTGCCAGGAATGTGCACATTATTTCCTTGAAGTGAAGGACAAAGATATCAAGCATGCATTAGCAGGACTGTTCGTTGAAATTCTTGTACCTGTAGCTGCTGTGAGTTTTATTTATTTGCATGATTTTTTCAAGTTAGATTCAAAAGTCAATGTATGAAAAACAGTGTTAACATTAAATCTCTTTTCAGGCTGTTAAAAATGAAGTGAATGTTCCCTGTCTGAGGAACTTTGTTGAAAGCCTGTATGACACAACACTTGAGCTTTCTTCTCGAAAGAAGCACTCACTGGTAAGTAATCCTGAGAAGCTGAAGCTAAAATTCTTCATCAGAAGTCTTTCTAGGCAAGATTCTCAAAGGGCTTGCAGAATTGTTGCAAAACCATTTATCTGCATCTGGCTCAATGTACAATTAATTGCTATTTCAAAAGTGTATGTTATATCCACATCTATTTTAATCTGAATCCTCTAGGTGTTTTCAGATCCTGCAATTATGATTATAAAATGGTCAATACCTGTTGTGTCTGACCATTAGCACAGAGAAAAAAGTTAACAGAGAGTGCATTGCCTGTCAAGTGAGAACTAATGGGACATGTGGGAACAGCTCTTTCAAAACGGTTAAGTAATGTTTTGTGGGAACAAACCAATATATAACAGTGCCTTTTTACACAGCATGTCAGCTAAGAAGCTCTCTATTTCATATTTTCTTGAGAGATTAACAGTGGCATAACAGTGTATAGCTGAAATGGATTAAATGGAGCACTGAGTCAGGTTGATGCTGGCTGCCTTAAGCATTCTATCTTTCCAGCTGGGTCAGTGCACCTCAGCACTGCGGCCTCTGTTAATCCATTTTGAAGTCTTTGGCCTTTTAAGAAAAGAAAGTTATTTTCATTGGTCCGTTCTTATTTATGTACAAGTCAAAAGGACCTCCCTGTCCCCCACTATCTCACTGAGTGTTGGGAAGTGATGCTATCTGATTTCATTGATGGACTCGTACAGGCACACTTGTGACTGCTGCTGTCATTACTCCAGCCAGTTCCAGAAGGGAGTCAAAATACTTCTTTCTGGGTGAAATTCTGCCTCCATTGAAGTTAGTGGGAGTTTTGCCATTGACTTCAATGGAGCCAAGATTTCTCCCTTTAGGCACATGTGTAGCCAACCCTGTTGCGGATGCAGACACACTGATAACACTGTTGAAACTACAGCAAACTAAGGATCCAATTCTTCAATCCTTATGCTGAGTAGAACTTTCCCAAACAAATAACCTCATTGAAGATAATGGGGCGTCTCACTAGAGTAAATGGCACTCAATTTGAGAAAGGGATAGAGTTGGGGCCTTTCTGTGAGATTTCTCACAGACAGATACCATATAATGAAAAGTAATGAAATAGAATAGACTCCTGAGATGATCTATTAGAAAAGCAAACATTGCAAAGAAGAGAATGGTAAGCAGCTAGCAGTGATAGCAGTAGCTGCAGATATTTCCAGGGGAAGGACTATTGGCCTCTTTAAACAAGAATACATGATACTTTAAATTTTAGGGGATGAGTTTTTGCTATGAGAATTATGTTTTGGGGATTATTAGTCATTGTTCAGTCAATATGCATTTAACCTATCTTGTCCTGTAGGCAGGGCCTTCCTTAGCAGGGTGTGGGGCCCGGGACATAGGTGCCAAGTTTCTAATCTGCTGGGGGGTGGTCCCCTCTGGCTCCGCACAGGCCATGCCCCCACTCCACCCCTTCCCCCAAGGCCCCATCCCCACCCTGCTTCTTCCCACCCCCGCTCTGCCCCCTCCCTGCCTCTTCCCTGCCTAGTTCCACCCCCTCCCCCGCGTACGCTGCGCCCTCACTTCCCTCCCCTCCCAGCACCTCCTGATGCAGCAAAACATCTGATCCGTGGTAGGTGGTAGCCGCTGAGAGGGAGGAGAGGTACTGATCGGCGGAGCCTGCTGACGGGCAGGAGGCGCTGGGGAGAGGGGGAGATTCTAGTAGGGGGGCTCCCCCCCGACCCCACTGGCCTGCCTGCTGCTAGCTGCTCGCCTCCCCGCTTGTCTCCTCACCCCTCCTGCCTCATCTCCCCGCTTGCCTCCTCATGATTTTATAGAAGCGTGGGGGGCCCTGGGCGGTCACCCCAATTTGCCGTACCCAAAGGACGGCTCTGCCTGCATGGGGCTGTTCATCTGCCAAATACATGATGTTTATCAGTCTGGTGAGGAAGCTTTAATTCTCCTCTGGCTACTACATTTTTGTGTTTTGATGTAGAATGCTAAAAAGTTATATGTATTTGGTTTTATGTGTCAGTGAACTTGGAGTTAAACTAGCTACGGACAATCTGTGCCCTAGGTTGAGAGAAACAGGATTTGGATTTTACAGTGAGGTTTACATTTAGGGGCAAGCCTTAGGCTGAAATTTTAGGGTTAATTTTAAGAGTCTGTTGTGTTTATGGTGAAAAAAGTTGCCTCCTCTTTGGTCATTGTTTTTTTAAAGGCCTGACCTGGCTGCATTTAAAGAAGAACTGACCCAGAGGAGGAGCTTGAAACAGCAGGTCACTGTCAAAATCAACATATTTATTCCTGACTTTTAGTCTAATATTTTAGCTTAACAATAGCAATACAAATGTCAAACGCTGGTCAGAACAGATTTGGGAAAAGAACCCCGCACACAGTGTTTGGTTTTCTATCCTTTGTCTTGCCTGTTTTTACACTCTGCGTAACTACCCTACAAGATTAAACCTCCAGAAGGCTTATGTTTTGACCATCATTTAAACCATGTGCCCCTGGGATCTGACAGTTCTTCAAATAAATAACCATGGATTTTGAGGGGAGTTAGGTCTTCTGTAAACAACAAACAATGGACTATGGGAATTCTAATGCTGAGTATGGCACGCACAGTAATTCCCCAGCTACTACATTTCTCAGTTAACTGACACAGAAATTAGCCCTATGATGCTGCAAAATTTTGGCCCATCTTTAGGATTTATGAACAGTGATACACTTAGGCATTTGATTGTTTTTGGTGCAAATGTAATTCTAAATTTGTACAAAGTAATCCATACAAATTCATAACAGCTTTAGAGAAACATTCCTTTTAAATTATGTTATTGAACAATGTGTTTATGTTGGCTGGTGCATATAGCATAACACAGGGGATCTAGGACTCTAAATGTACAATGGTTCTAGTGTTAAATTAGTTTGATGTTTTGTTGACATACAAATAATCCTGTATCATCTTTCTTTCTATTTAGGCTTTGTATCCTTTGGTAACATGCCTGCTTTGTGTCAGTCAGAAGCAATTCTTTTTAAACAGATGGCATATTTTCCTCAACAACTGCCTATCCAATCTCAAAGTTAGTATCTTACTTTCTTTTTTAATACTTTGCTAGCTCACTGTACGTAGGCTGGGTTGTCTTTAGTTTTACGTGATTTAGCTAGATAGGTTGTTCTCAAATTTTTGTACTGGTGACCCTTTTCACATAGCAAGCCTCTGAGTGCGACCCCCCTGATAAATTAAAAACACTTTTTTTATATACTTAACACCATTATAAATGCTGGCGGCAAAGTGGGATTTGGGGTGGAGGCTGACAGCTCAAGACCCCCCATGTAATAACCTCGTGACCCCCTGAGGGATCCCAACTCCCAGTTTGAGAACCCCTGAGCTAGATTATTGATAATAGCTGAATCTATCAGTAATTTTATTTCATAGCAATGTTTTTATAATTTAACAATACAGGATTTTGTCAATGAAAAAAAATATTCCTATGCCTAGTTTGAATTTCTCATATCTTTATTAATGGAGAGTGGCTTGAACCAAACAACCCAAATATTGCATATGCATGTGAGGACAGACTAAATTGTTGGTAAAAGTTGGCCAGGAATGGAGTGGAAGAAGAAAATTGCCAAATGTTACCTTTGAACCTTTTACTTCATTCAGTCAGGGGTTCTTAAACTGGAGCACTTGCTGCTGGCCTGAGGAAAGCTGGCTGGTCACGTGGTACTGATTCTCCTTGTTTCAATCTGAAAGTCTCATTAAAGAAACTAAAACTAAATTAAAATGTTTGTGGCACTACTGTTTCTGTCCACCTAAACAATTGATGTTCTTCCCAAAGACTGATACATGGTTTACTAATTATTATCACAGCCATTTTCATCCAGTCCTTAAGGAACTAAGAAATATTAAAAAATTCACCTCATGTGAATGTATGATATGTGCTTCTTTAAAAGATGCTTTTTCTCTGGTGTGCACACCCTGTGATGCTATTCGGTGTACAGTAAAATTAAGATATTTTGTTGAATAGTGAAGGAAATGTCAGAGATGTGAAACTTACATCATCACTTATTGAGTTAAAGAAGGAGAGGAAGGATGGTCTTGTAGTTAGGACTTGTTCCAAAGCCTATTATATTCAGTGAGAGTCTTTCCACTGACTTCAGAGTGCTCTGATCAGGCTTTTAGTCTTTCTCTGCCTCACTGCTATTACCTGTAAATACCTTACCTCACAAGTCTTGTGAGGGCAAATTCATTCATATATGTGAAGTGCTCAGATACTATGATTGTGGAGGCTATACTAGAATCTAGGCAGATAGATAAAAGTTAAAGCACCTACAATAAGCACACCGACTCTTTTTGAGAATGAACTTTGCTGTTTAATATTTGTGCTGTAGTATGTTTGATCTTAAAACACTTCATTACTGGGTGGTAATTCCATATGTACACAAAGTAGTATGTAGAGGTAACTGCTGAACAATGAAATTGAGATATGTTGCGTGTTTGGAGGCTTTTTAAGCATTGAGAAGATGTTTCTGCAGTATGCTGAACTGTCCTCTCAATACGTCTGACAAAGTGGGTATTCACCCACGAAAGCTTATGCTCCAATACGTCTGTTAGTCTATACGGTGCCACAGGACTCTTTGTCGCTTTTTACAGATCCAGACTAATACGGCTATCCCTCTGATACTTGTCCTCTCAATAGGTTGCCAGAATCCATGGTTTGTCCAGCAAAAAAGACTATTGATGCAGTTTGCTGAATTGGGACAAGAATTTACGTTATGTAACTGTAAACATTTCCTAACAAGTGAGGAATGTAATCTATGGGGTAGTTTCCAAAAGGAAGTGGCAGTCCTATTGTTTTGGATCATTTTAAAGTTGCACTGGACAAAGTGATAATTCCTTATTAAATATTCTCTATCGTCCTTCGGTTGGACAAGGGAGGTTAGACAAGGTGACCTAATAAATCTTTTCCATATCTAGTTTCTGTTTATGAATATTTCATGTACTGTTTTGCTGACTGAGCTTCCTGGTTTTTTAACTAATTGCAGTATTGCTTTGATGTCAAATGGTAGTTTTGAAATGGAATAGTTAATAATCAAATGAAAAATAATTTGTCATTTAAGTGTTAATTCGATACAGATACAGATTTTTATATTCAATTGTATATTAATTTTAGTTTTTAAAAAGTGATGTGGCTCAACAGCACTGCCATTAATTTTTGTGACTTGCTTTTATAGAATTTATGAAATTCGGCTGTAGTTATTTAGTTTAGTGTGTTTAAATCATTCTGACATTTGTAAATGTTTTAAATGTCTTTATTTAGTGACTGTGGCTTGAGTAATGTTAAAATTAAATATGTTGTTCATGCTAATACGTGACGCTCTACATTAGCAAAGCTAGCCTTTCATGCTCACTTATACTGCACGTTAACTTGAAAAGCTGCTTGGTCAAAGTTCAGACCAATGCCATTCAGGCACATAAATCATCAGAAGGGGGAGGGCGTCAGGTGGGAAAATGAAAGCATTTCTGTGTTCTAAACAGTAAGATAGGGTAGCGTTTAGAAAGTTTTCGGAAGGCTTTACTTTATACTTTATACCACAGGGTTAGGCAACCTATGGCACACGTGCCAAAGGCGGCACGCAAGCTGATTTTCAGTGGCACTCACACTGCCCGGGTCCTGGCCACCGGGCCGGGGGGCTCTGCATTTTAATTTAATTTTAAATGAATCTTCTTAAACATTTTAAAAACCTTGTTTACTTTACATACAACAATAGTGTAGTTATAGACTTATAGAAAGAGACCTTCTAAAAAAGTTAAAATGTATTACTGGCAGGCGAAACCTTAAATTAGATTGAATAAATGAGGAATCAGCACACCACTTCTGAAAGGTTGCCGACCCCTGTTATACCACCTTAAACTTCTCTAAGATAATCAATTTTTGGATGGTTAGCAAGCATTCCAGAAACAAAGGTTTTGATGTGGGTTTTTTTGGTGGGGCCTTTTAAAAACCTAATACATAGGCATAGTTTGGGAGGACATGGTGGGGCATTGCTTCCCAAACTGCAAGCCCTGGGCAGGCGTGGAATCTGCTTCTCCCCTTCCCCCCCGCCCACTTAGCCCTGTTAGCCTGGCTGGAGTAACTTCCTGAACTACGCCTGTGACCTCATATGATGGATATTATTATTTGCTTTGCATAGATATGAACCTGTGATGTACTTTACAGTATTACAGATTTATCCCAACCTGCCAGAATAAAATCCCATCTGCTCCTTGGCAAAACTCCCATTGACTTCTATATGGCCAAGACATCACTCTGGGAGAAATAGATACAGTATATGATTGTCAGGAAACTTGGACACTTTCAGGCCAGAGGGGCAAAAGTTCCAGAGTCAAGGGCCATCACTGAGAATATCCTGTCCCAGGCTAGGGACTATTAAGTAAACTCAGGCATCCCAGGTGACCTCATCAGCTAGGGTAGAATGAAGTTAAATCCGAAAAGAAGAGACGAAGCAATGGAACTGCCCATGAATAAGTCCCAGATGACCACTGCAAACATTTGGATGTATTAGGGCAAAATTATAGAGGAATCTCAGAGTAATACAAATTCTGCCCTTATATTAAAAGGCAATCAAGTGGGCCAGCTATACATGTCACTGTAATTGCAGGGCAGAATCTCTCAGGGTATGCCAAAACCGTGCACCAACAGGTGTCCCATGCTGCTGCTCTAAAAGAAGCAACATGTTTCTCTGGTTAGCGTGTGCTGCTAGCGGGGGTGGGACTGGACAGATTCCATAGCTGGCATATCGCGACACCTCTGGAATGTGGTGCATCAACTAATGCAGTTACAGGTCTCCTCATAGCCATCGGTGGAGTGCGAGTTAGAGATACTTGGTCTTATGGCCAGCAGCTCTGCACTGCTCAGTAGCACAAAACAAACAGTAAGTTGCTCTAAGGACATAGGTGAGAGATTCCCCTGATGGATCATTATCTGGAAGTAGAGTAAATCCAGCATAGCCAGCTGTATGTTTTTATTCTCTCCTCCTCCCCTCCGGCACAGAAGGAACTGTAGGACAAACTGCAAGTATTAAGGGGTCTACTTGCTTAACTTTGAGAATGGTGAGTAGTACAACAGAGGTCAATAAAGCTTACTCATTTGCCTATGTGTTTTGCTGGATCAAGGCCAAAATTATGTTAGATGCTGAAAAGTGACTAAGGCCTGGTCTACACTGCGGGGTGGGGGGGAGATTGATCTAAGTTACGCAACTTCAGCTACATGAATAATGTAGCTGAAGTCAACGTACTTAGATCTACTTACCGCGGCGGTGTCTTCACTGTGATAAGTTAACAGCTGATGCTCTCCCGTCAACTCTGCCTGCGTCTCTCGCCCTGGTGGAGTACCGGAGTCGACGGGAGAGCGCTCAGCAGTCAATTTATCGCATCTAGACTAGATGCGATAAACTGACCCCCTCTGGATCGATCGCTGCCCGTCAATCTGGCGGGTAATGTAGACAAGCCCTTAGTCACCTTCTTCCTCCCTTTTTTCTGTCCAAACATAGCCTGGCCAGGCCCAGGGACCTGGCCCTCCCCTGGTGGAAGCACAACCCTGTTTCTTTCCAATTCTGTTATTTAAGAAGGTCATTCCTAGGAGCTCCACCAAAACTGTCTCACAGCTGGGAGGCTGTTCAATATTACTGAAGACAGCTATTCAGATTATGGATGTAGAGGAGCTGTTTTATTTTAAAATGTGATTTGCCAATGATAATATAAAGTGTATTTGCCTGTATCTCTACACTTTTAATCTGCAAGTAAGCCAATACAAAAATAATTTGCTTTGTGTCTTCTGTAATATATTTGAAAACATGCTACCATTTATAACCTGATATAGAATTTAGTAATGACTTTAAATTAAATTTATGGTGAATAATTTTCAGTATAAAATTTTATTCAAACTAGGACTGTCAAGTGATTAAAAAAAATGATCGCACAATTAATCACATGATTAATTGCACTGTTAAATAATAATAGAATACCATTTATTTAAATATTTTTGGATGTTTTCTACATTTTCAAATATATTGATTTCAATTACAACACAGAATACAAAGTGTGCAGTGCTCACTTTTTATTTATTTTTGAATACAAATCTTTGCTTTGTAAAAAACAAAAGAAATAGTATATTTCAATTCACCTAATACAAGTACTGTCATGCAATCTCTTTATCATGAAAGTTGAATTTACAAATGTTGAATTATGTACAAAAAAATAATTGCATTCAAAAATAAAACAATGTAAAATTCAGAGCCTACAAGTCCACTCAGTCCTACTTCAACCAATCGCTGGTGGTTCCCAGCATCGGAGTGGTGCTCTTTTAAGACTTCCGAAAGCATGCTCTACTCCTCGTCCCTCTCAGATTTTGGAAGGCAGTTCAGAGTCTTAAACTTTGGGTCGAGTGCTGTAGCTATTTTTAGAAATCTCACATTGGTACCTTCTTTGCGTTTTGTCAGACCTGCAGTAACAGTGTTCATAAATCAAACAACATGAGCTGGGTCATCATCCGAGACTGCTATAACATGAAATATATGGCAGAATGCGGGTAAAACAGAGCAGGGGACATACAGTTCTCCCCAAAGGAGTTCAGTCACAAATTTAATTAACGTACTATTTTTTTAACGAACATCATCAGCATGGAAGCTTGTCTTCTGGAATGGTGGCTGAAGTATGAAGGGGCATACTAATGTTTAGCATATCTGGCATGTAAATACCTTGCAAAGCTGACTACAAAAATGCCATGCAAACGCATGTTCTCATTTCAGGTGACATTGTAGATAAGAAGCAGGCAGCAGTATCTCCCGTAAATGTAAACAAGCTTGTTTGTCTTAGCGATTGGCTAAAAAAGAAGTAGGACTGAGTGGACTTGTAGGCTCTAAAGTTTTACATTGTTTTGTTTTTGAGTGCAGTTATGTAACCAAAAAAAATCTACATTTGTAAATTACACTTTCACGATAAAGATTGCACAGTACTTGTATGAGGTACATTGAAAAATACTATTTCTTTTATCTATCATTTTTACAGTGCAAATATTTGTAATAAAAAATAATATAAAATGAGCACTGTACGCTTTGTATTCTGTGTTGTAATAGAAATTGATATGTTTGAAAATGTAGAAAAACATCCAAAAATGTTTAATAAATGTCAATTGGTATTCTATTGTTTAACAGTGCGATTAATCGCGATTAATTTTTTTAATCGCAGTTAATTTTTTTTGAGTTAATTGTGTAAGTTAACTGCGATTAATCGACAGTCCTAATTCAAACCATTTCAGATAATATTTGTACAACATGTTGACTATGTAAAGTGCTTTATGAATACTAAATATACCTGTTATAATTTCAGAGTTCAAGTTAAGTATTAATTTCGAGTAATATTCAATGTGGATTTTTATTAGTAATAATGATAAAGCTTGAAAATATAATCAAACCTAGTATTTCTCATAATTTATGTGCCTTTGCTAATAGCCACTTCTGGTTTGGTCCTAATACAAATACTATACTAGTCTGCAGACTTTGAGGGTAGCTCAAGGGAGGGACCAGTAGATTGGCAATTAAATGGACCAATGGCTAAGAGCCATCTGTAGAAGACAGAGAGGGGTCTGTGACCATTATTTCAGCCCAAAGGCTGTGTGATAGAGGCACATGATGGACAGAATCTCAGTTAGGTACCCAAAGGCTAAAACAACTGAGCAGCACACCAGATGAAGGGGAAACAAGAGACTTTACTGGTTCAAACTCTTCTGAAAAAAACCAACACAGATGTTGTTCTCAGCCTCAAATGTTACCCAGTCCAACTGGTCATTCTATCTAAGTTTAAATTTTGTCATTTTTAAATGTGTGTAGTATATAATAAATTTATTGGGTATATGCTTAATATCAGTGCATAAAAATGGAATAAGATTTGTATTAAAAAAAAGTCCGACAGGTTAATTGAAGATGAAATTTTTGTCTAGATTTGAATAGGATTGGTTTCCATAGTGATTCTTAATTGCACTATATCTCATCTGTTTTATGCTAACACAGGCACTTAGGATGTCTGAAATCTTTAATAGTATTTTAAAAGGTGGGTCATTTAGAAATAAGTTTTAAACAAATTTTAAGATTAAATTCTGTACAATGATAATTTTATATGTTTTTCTGTGTGCTAGTACTATATTTGGGCATCAAGTAGCTGTGTGTTTCCACATCTTTTTGTGATGCTCAGTACCAAAGCTATAAATCTTGGCATGCACTAAGAGTGGATATGCAGCCCAAACTTCCTTTATAGGTTGTGCTCCAAGAAAAAATTAGAAGGATTTGTAGAGTTAAGACTTAACTGGCTGAAATCTATTGTTTGCTTGTGTTTTTCTTCTAGAACAAGGACCCCAAAATGGCTCGAGTTGCACTGGAGTCTCTGTACAGACTACTGTGGGTTTACATGATTAGAATTAAATGTGAAAGCAATACAGCTACCCAGAGGTAAAGTTTTGCAGTTGTAATTGTAACCAGGCCCCTTTGCTGTGGATGTTTCCATTGTAGAAGTCCAGTGGCTCCACTGAGTGTCCTTGACCTAGAAGAGATTCTGCTGTCAAATGTGAACAATAAAATGTTCCTTTTTGTGACATTTAACAATTTTTCTCCTGCTTTTTGCAATTACTATACCAAAAGCTTTTGCTTTTGGAAGAGCCGGAATATAGACAGACTCACTCTTTGCTTCTGGAAATAGTGGAAATAGAAAGAGAAGTGTGTTATTGGCAGGATTGTGGATGCTTGCCGCACAATAACAAAATAGCAATAGCTCAGTCAAATGTAGAAACAAAGAAACAGAGCAAGGTACTATTGTACCTTTTAATTTGGAAAAGCCTTTCCATACTTGAGGCTTTCTAAATGAGATTTCCAGACAGAATTTGGGATAATTAAACAAGAAGATACACCTGCCACTCATCTGCAAGGAATGGAACTGTGCTGATGCTTGCTTTTTTCTTTTCTTAGTCGACTTATAACCATTGTCACAACGCTATTCCCAAAAGGGTCCCGTGGTGTGGTGCCAAGGGATATGCCTCTAAACATCTTTGTGAAAATTATACAGTTCATTGCACAGGTATGGAAAAGAACTGTGTCCAAGTAATGAATAATTTATTTTCCTAATAAATTATTAATGGCAGAATAAACTCGGTATTGTGTCACTTTATTCATCCCTCACTGTTGATAGCCTTCTCCTAGGCAATGGTAAATTGTGGGTGTGGATTAGGCTAGAAATGATAGTGAAGTCACACTGGTGTAGAACAAGGGAAAGTGACAGGATCAGTTCCAGTAATGCCATTTTAATGCACCAGGGACTGACACACAAAATGTTATTTAGTATTAATGGGAGTTTACCACATAAATTCTGCACTCATCAATGGAAGGCTAGTCTCCTCTGTGGCTCCAGTTCAGCAAACCATCCCCATTTAGCCAGGGCCGCCTGGGGGGGGGGGCAAGTGGGGCAATTTACCCCAGGCCCTGGGCCCCACAGGGGCCCCCACGAGAATATAGTATTCTATAGTATTGCAACTTTTTTTTATGGAAGGGGCCCCCAAAATTGCTTTGCCCCAGGCCCCCTGAATCCTCTGGGCAGCCCTGCATTTAGCAAAGCACTTACATGTGTGCTTAAAATTAAGCCCTCGCTTAAGTACTTTGCTAAATGGGGATGCACTTAAGCATATACTTAAATGCTTTGCTGAATTTTAGATGCTTTGCATCTGTGAATAGACTTTTGTTTTATAAAATAGCACATTAGTACTACAATTGCTCAAGTGAAATTTAAATAATTAAAAAAGAGACTTTTAAAGTCGCTCATTTAGGTACCTAAATTAAATGGCCAGATTTTCAAAAGTGCTCAATACTCAGCAACTTCTGTTTAGATAGGAGTTGGAATAGGAGCTGAGCTCTACTGAAAGTCTGGAACAAGTTGTGGGTGCTGTACACTTTTGAAAATCTGATCCTAAATAAATTTAAATAAATCCTGATGACATCCTGCTTCAATATTTCTATTGCCTTTAACAAAAGAAGCAATTTCATATGATTTGTAACAATTTTTTCCATTTTAGGAACGTTTAGATTTTGCAATGAAAGAAATTATCTTTGACTTTCTTTGTGTTGGAAAACCAGCAAAAGCTTTCAGTCTCAATCCAGAGGTATGACATATATGCACACTTTTTACTGAAATATGTATTTATTGCATTATGTTCAGCTTCAATTTGATTGCTCAGAATAATTTATATTCTTCTTCACGTGCTTGTTCATGTCAATTCCAATCAGGTGTGCGCGTGCTGTGCACGACAGCTGGAAGATTTTTCCCCTGGCAGTATCCGTAGAGTCGGCCTGGGCGCCCCCTGGAGTCGCGCCTACATGGCGCCCAATATAGCGCCCTGCCAACCCAACCATCCCTCAGTTCCTTCTTACTGCCAGTGATGACTAGCTGGAACGTCCCTTGCTCTTGCTTCTGCAAGCGCCCCTAGAAGTCTCCCACTGTCATTTCTATACAGTTAGATTCTTAGTTAGTAGTATTAGCAGTGTTAGTAGTTTCTCTAAGTTTCCGTTGCAGGGTTCCTCCCCCCTCATCCCCCACCCCGTTTCGTCCTTTGGCACCAGGGTATGCCTCGGTCGCCGGGATTCAAACCGTGTGAAGTCTGCGGGGTAAATTGATGCCAAGGAGCGACTCGTACACTTCTTGTTTGAAGTGCCCTGATGAGAGTCACCAAAGGGACAAGTGCCGCATTTGCAAAGGGTTTCGGCCGAGGAACCTTAAGGATCGTGAGCAGAGACTTAGAATTGTTCTTATGGAGGCAGCCCTCCGTCCGACCCAGAGTCGGCGGAGCCCGTGCCGAGTGCCTCCTCTGTGCGCAGCGCACCGGCACCGACAGCATGCAAGCCGGTACCAAGGAAGGAGGCTAAGGACTCCTGACACCGAGTGCCAAGTATAAGACTTCTGGTAGCCACCGGTCTTCATCCACGGTGCTCCAGAAGAAAAAGAGGCAGGAGAGAGGGCGCTCTCCCCATCCTAAGCCTTAGGAGCCAGTGACAGGGAGGCCTCAGCCCATCCAGCCTACGTTGGGCCCGGCACCTCCCAGGGGGGTCCAGTCAAGTAAGGCCCACTACCATTCTCCGGACTGTCATGGCCGGAATATTCAACTCCCCTCCTCTCCAGAGACTTTTGAGGTGGCACAGGACCTTTTTCGCTTCACAGCACTGCCTTCTCCAAGGTGGGATGAGGCACTGGTCATAACCCGCCCACCTATCCCATCTAGGGGCAAGCCGGAGATGATGTTGCACCGCTCCCCATCTCGATGATGCCACTCCCTGGTGCCGGCCGCCCACATGGGGGGACTGCACCAATCCTCAGGGGCCCGGCATTGCTCGTCTGCACGACCCATTACCTCTCCTCTGTGGTCTTCCATTTTGGAGACCTCGGAGTCTGAGGCAGAGTCCTATCAGTCAGATAGGTCCAGCAGCAGGAGGTCTAGATCTTGGCGACACCACCAGCCTCCTCTAGCGCCGTGGCCACCTCAATGGTAACCACCAGCTCAGTGGCTCTTTTGGACTCCCTGGGCCTATCATTAAGCCCAGGGTCAGAGCCAGGCATTGAGATCCAGGTCGGCGTTGGTCATGTCGGCATCCTTCACCCCCACACAGCAGCTGGCACCGGAGACGCCACCGATACCTCTGCCTGCCGCTTATTCCTCCACGCCGGTGACCACCCCGGCACCGGCAAGCACCATGGCACCGACGACCATCTCGGCACGGACCTCCTCGGCACCGGGAACTGCGACATCGGCGTTATAGCAGCCCAATGGACAACGTGACCATCTTGGGGCTGAGGGCAGTGACCAAGGCCATGTGCTGGTGCTCTCGGCCTCCTCCTCCCCAGATGAGGCTGTTGTGGGCACGTCAACGGACTCCGCCTTGGAAGATAGCAGGGTCCTGCAACAGTTGTTGTTCAAGGTGGCCCAGAACCTGGGGATCCAGGCAGAGGAGCTGGTAGAAGATGCTGTTCCCAGGGTGGACATCCTCACCCCCTCTGGGCCCTCGCACATTGTGCTGCCACTCATCAAAACTATAACTGAGACCACAATAAGTTTGTGGCAGACGCCGGCCTCTTTGCCCCCTACAGCGAAGAGAAAAGAGAGAAGCTATTTCATCCCCTCAAGGGGATATGAGCATCTCTATTCCCACCCTCCACTCAACTCTTTGGTGGTGGATGCTGCAAACTAAAGGGAGCGTCAGGGGTTTCAGGGACCCTCCCCTAAAAATCAGGAGGCGAAAAAGGTGGACTTGTTCGGGAGAAAAGTCTACTCCACCAGTGGTTTGGAGCTCCGCATTTCAAACCAACAGGCCATCATTAGTCGGTACTCCTTTAACACCTGTGGAGCAATGGCCAAGTTTGCCGAGCTATTGCCACCAGACGCCCGCTCCAAAATTAATGCCTTGGTGGAGGAAGACAAACTCATTTCTAGGCCTCCTTGCAGGCGGTTCTTGATTGTGCTGACACAGCAGCCCAAACCATGGCTACAGGGATGGCCATGAGACGGTCCTCTTGGCTCAAGGTCTCTGGGCTTCCTTACAAAGTCCAAGAGACATCCAAGACCTACCCTTTGAAGGTCAGGCCCTTTTCTCTGAAAAGACAGACAGGATACTGCACAGTTTAAAATACTCAAGAGCCACCCTCAAGTACCTGGGCATACACATCCCCACTACACAGTGCAGGCACTTCAGGCTGCAGCCTCCTCAGCAGTTTTACCAACAAAACCGACAGGTTGGTTCCTGGAGGAGGAATAGGGGTGGCAGGAAAAGGCCACACCCATCCTCAGGTCAGAGCTCTGGCCAATCCAAGCCACCTTTGAGCCCCAAACTGGCCTTTTGAAGGTGTGGTCGAGGACCGCACACCAGGACAAGAACTGGATCTACCCCGCCTTACCTTTTTGTCTTGACTGTCCCCCTTCTACCGTGCATGGTCCAATATCACTTTGGAATGCTGGATGGTCCGCACAGTAAAGAGGGGATACTCCATCCAATTCTGTGCCCTTCTGCCCTTCCACCCCCCTTCCCAGTCCCTCTTCAGGGATACTTCTCACAAGCAACTCCTTATACAGGAGGTGCACTCGCTCCTTTCACTGGGGCAGTGGAAGAGGTTCCTCAGGAGCAGAAGGGGAAGGGTTTCTATTCCCGGTATTTCCTAATACCAAAAGCCAAAGGTGGGCTCAAGCCCATCCTAGACCTGCGAGAACTCAACAAGTTCATGAAGAAGCTCAAGTTCCATGTGGTTTCTTTGGCCTCCATCATCCCATCATTAGATCCAGGAGACTGGTATGCTGCCCTCGACTTGAAGGACGCGTACTTTCACATAGCAATAACTCCGTCCCACAGAAAATACCTCATGATTGTGGTGAGCAGCACCCACTACCATTTCACAGTCCTCCCTTTCAGCCTGTCAGCAGCACCTCACATGTTCACTAAGTGCATGGCAGTCGTGGCCGCGTTCCTGCGCAGGCGGCAGGTACAGGTGTTCCCATACCTCGATGACTGGCTCATCAAGGGCCACACCAGATCTCAAATGGAGGCACAAGTCGACTTCATAAGAACAACATTTGACAAACTGGGCCTCCTTCTGAACGAGGGGAAATCAACGCTCTCCCCGGGTTCAGAAGATAGAGTTTATAGGGGAAGTACTGGAGTTGACACAAGCCAGGGCATACCTCCTGGAAGCAAGGTTTCGGTCCCTCGGTGACATCATAAGAGGTCTCAGGCAGTTCGCCACCACCACAGCAAGGAATTGCCTGAAACTTCTAGGACACACGGCCGCTTGTACCTTTGTGGTGCAACACACCAGGCTCAGACTCTGGCCTCTCCAATTGTGGCTAACCTCGATGTATCGGCCGGCTCGGGACAGTTTGGACAGGGTTGTGACTCTACCTCGCTCATCCTCGATGCCCTCCAGTGGTGGCTCGACCCACAGGTAGTATGTGTGGGAGCCCATACTACCAGCCCTCAGCCATCTCTCTTCCTAGTGACAGATGCGTCAGTTATGGGCTGGGGAGCACATTTGGGAGACCTCAGGACACAAGGCCTCTGGTCTCAGGCGGAACTCGTTCTCCACATCAACGTCAGAGAGCTGAGAGCAGTACTCCTGGTGTGTCAGACTTTCCGAGCCCACTTAACAGGGAGATGTGTATCAGTTATGACAGACAACACCATGGTGATGTTTTATATCAACAAGTTGGGGGGTGCACACTCCTCTCTCCTGTGCCAGGAAGCCCTCATGCTGTGGGACTTCTATGTAGAGCATTCGATACACCTGCAAGCATTGTACCTCCCTGGAGTATAGAACGAGTTGGAGGAGCATCTCAGCAGGTTGTTCCAAGGCCACGAGTGGTCCCTTTGCCCGGACATTGCGAACTCAGGGGTTTTCCCCAGATAGACCTGTTCACCACGCGACGCAACAGGAAGTGCCAGAAGTTTTGCTCCTTCCTGAATCACAGCCTGGGCTCCATTGCAGATGCGTTCCTCCTCCCATGGGGAGGCCATCCCCTATACGCGTTTCTACCCATACCACTCATTCACAAGGTGCTCCTCAAGGTAGGGAGGGAGCAAGCTTCGGTGATATTGATAGCTCCAGCCTGGCCCCGCCAGCACTGGTACACATCGCTCTTGCAAATGCTCTAGTCACCTTGCTGCTCTTCCCGGACTTACTAACTCAGGACCACAGCCGTCTCCAACACCCAAACCTCGAGTCGCTGCATCTCACAGCGTGGAAGCTCCGTGACTGAATCCGGCGGAGCTCTCTTGCTCGGACCAGGTTAGACAAGTCATCCTAGGCAGTAGGAAGCCTTCTACCAGAGCTACCTATCTTGCCAAGTGGAAGAGATTTTCAGTCTGGTCGGCACAGCACCGTTCATTTCTGACGCTTGTCTCCGTGCCACTTATATTAGACTATCTCCTCCATCTCAAGCAGCAGGGGCTGTCCATGTCATCAGTAAAGGTTCACTTGGCCGCCATGTCTGCCTTCTATCCAGGCGCGGAGGGCCGGTCAATCTTCATCAACCCTATGGTCAGCCGTTTCCTGAAAGGTCTTGACAGGCTATACCTGCATGTCAGGCAGCCGGTCCCGGCCTGGGATCTCAATCTGGTCCTGTCCAAATTAATGGGGCCACCCTTCAAACCACTGGCAACTTGTTCCCTGCTTTACCTGTCATAGAAGGTGGCATTTCTGGTAGTGATAACCTCAGCCAGGAGGGTGTCCAAGCTCAAGGCCCTAACATCAGAGCGCCCTTAAATGGTGTTCTATAAGGACAAGATTCAGCTCAGGCCACATCCTGCATTCCTCCTGAAGGTTGTCTCCCAGTTTCATATCAACCAGGACATCTTCCTCCCAGTCTTCTATTCTAAACCACACTCGAGTGGCAGGGAGCAGAGGCTTCACTCATTGGACATCTGCAGACCATTAGCCGTTTACATTGAAAGAATGAAACTGTTCCAGAAGTCCATTCAACTGTTTGTGGCTGTGGCAGACAGGATAAAAGGTCTTCCAGTCTCCTCTCAATGAATTTTGTTGTGGATTTCATCCTGCATCCGAGAGTGCTACAACCTGGCAGTGGTGCTTGCCCCTCCAATCACCGCACACTCCACCAGGGCGCAGGCCTTTTCAGCCGCTTTCCTGGTTCAGGTTCCTACTCAGGAAATATGCAGGGCAGCGACGTGGTCCTCCATACGCAGTTTCACCACACATTACGCAATCACCCAGCAGGCCAGAGACAACGTGGCCTTTGATAGAGTGGTACTACGATCAATGGACGACTCCAACTCTGCCTCCTGAACTTTGGCTTGTGATTCACCTGATTGGAATTGACATGAACAAGCACTCGAAGAAGAAAAAATGGTTACTCACCTTATCGTAACTGTTGTTCTTCAAGATGTGGTGTTCATGTCCATTCCAATACCCTCCCTTCTACCACTCTGTCAGAGTCCCCAGCAAGAAGGAACTGAGGGGAGGTCGGGTTGGCAGGGCCCTATATTGGATGCCATATAGGCGCGACTCCAGGGATGCCCAGCAACCCTACGGATACTGCTAGGGGGAAAATCTTCTGGCTATCGTGCACGCAGCACGCGCACACCTGATTTGGAATGGACATGAACAACACATCTCAAAGAACAACAGTTACGAGAAGGTGAGTAACCGTTTTTTATTTTAGCCTTATTCAATACAAGATATGATGCACTGTAGGAAATATTGTTGAATGGTTATACCATAGATTTTTTGTAATTGCCACAACGGTATGAAGTTTGCATTATAGATATAAATATATGTGCTAACATTTAATGTAGTTGAGTAGAAACATTATTTTATTCTGTTCAGATTTTGGCAAAGGGAAATATCTCTGTAAATTAATTTATTCCAATTTGGTATAGCAACATTTTATTTCTGATTAAATGTGATTTTTGAAATGTGAAAAGGGTGGTAATTATTTGATTATGCTATTCATTCAAATTTGAACTTTACAGAGAATGAATATTGGTCTGAGAGCTTTCTTGGTGATTGCTGATAGCTTGCAGCAAAAAGATGGCGAACCTCCAATGCCAGTTACTGGAGCTGTCCTTCCCTCTGGAAACACTCTAAGAGTGAAGAAAACGTACTTAAGCAAAACTCTCACAGAGGAGGAAGCTAAAATGATAGGTCAGTAACAGGCATGTAATAATGTGAAAACTTATAATGACCAGTGTAACCATGTACAATACTCCTAAGTGAATATATAGAAAATTTTAATATAGATATGTATTTAATTGTATTTTTATTTATCATCTATTTTCAGTTAAATATATCCTTTAGACTGATTAATTCTATTTTCTTAAATTTAAGCTTATTGGGATATATTTCATAATTCATTGAGTATGTAGGTAAATCGATAAATCTTCTGAATGCTGAATATTTGTTTGTTTATTCAGTTTCCCTGCTAGTAATTGAAATACAGTGTTTGTACTCCACATGTATCCACCAGTTTGAGAAACACCATCAGTCGTAGAGTATCTATATTTTAAGTACTGGAAGAAACTTTTAAGTGCAAGTACAGTATAATTCCCCACCAATGAAAAAGACTTTTGTGTACTATAGTATATAATCATGATAATAAAAACCATAAAAATGTAAGGCCCAATCCTATAAACAATTACTACTAGGTATTAGTGCTAATCATATTTATTTCAATTACTACTCGCGTTAGTAAGCTCTGCAGCTAGTAGTAAAAGTCTGCAGGATTGAATTCTTGTTACTAATTTATTTCTTGTTACTATAGTTTTGCAGCAAAATATTTAGCACCAGTCTGGTTTCCACTTAGTGAGGCTGCATTCACTTTTTTGTTTTATAAACAGAATTCTAATTCTGAAATGAAATGGAGAGTCAATTATTCATGTTCAATGTAATATAAAATCATGGTAGATTACTTATTCATATGTTTCCCACTCTACCAGGGGATTTAGAGCATATGAAGAAGTTGAATGTTGAGGTCATTTCAGAGTTCTGAAACTACGCTGGCTTTATCTGCTAAAAAGTGAAATGGTTAGAGAAAAGCAGATTAAGAAATACTTCTTGATTGGTGGTGATTTATATAAAGTTTCCTTGGGATTCTTTGAAAAGCTCAGCCTAATAGGATAAAAGTAGGAAGCGTTATATTTTGAGGTTTACATTTTTAATTGTGAAAATTATATCTACTTTTAAATTATCTGATTTCCATTGGCTAGTGTATATCAGCATGAAACTAATATTGTATTTAATACAAAACAGCATGACCTAATTTTTCATACCAAAAGAGTATTTTGAGAGCTAGTTCAAATCCAATTTTTGTGTTAATTTTAAGACTAGCTGCTTGCTCAAAACCTTTATTTTTGTCATTTTTTTTAAAGCTCTCAAAGTCTCAGAGGGTGGCTAAATATATAATAAAGCTTTTCAGGACGTGGACTAGAATTATACAAAATTCAGTTTCCATTTAACCACTTACAGCCAGATTTCAGTTACTAAGCTACTAAGGCTGTGTTAGTATCTTTCTCCATAAGTAGTCCAAATCATTGGGACTACTCTCAGAGTAAGGTACTACTCACCATGAGAGAGGATGGCTGATCTGGCTCTGAATAAGGATGTAGTAGTTGAGGCAATAGGTTACATCATAGTTAAAACTTAGTGTTGTTTTACTTCTTGTAGCACTACTGGAATAAGCTCTCCCGTCTTCAAAATGCCTGAATCTCTATTAATATTATGTTCTTCTTTAAAAATTGAAATATATATTTTACAGGTATGTCATTGTATTATTCTCAAGTAAGAAAAGCTGTGGACAACATACTAAGACATCTTGATAAAGAAGTCGGACGATGTATGATGCTAACTAACATACAGATGTTAAACAAGGAACCTGAAGACATGATCACGTAAGTGTTAAATAAAAGTAAAGCAAAATCCTGTATGATTGAAAAAAAACTCAGAAGGAACTTTTGCTTTATTTTTTCCAACCAGTCTCAAGTTCTGTCTTAGCTGTCATAGGGACAGAGTGTAACAAGTACAGTTTGCTAATGCATACACTTAGTGCCTTTTGTGAAATCCACCATTTGTGGGTCCAGCAGGAACGGTCAGTGATGTCACCCCCTCTCTTCATCAGAAAATATAGCTTTGTTTTCCTGGATTTTAGTATTTATTTGCATGCATGTGGTAATTTTGGGAATTGGATTTACTTCCCCAAAGCAGCCAAAATTACCTCAGAATTTTAGGAATGGGAAGGTAGTGTAAAAAGCACCAGTGTCCACAGTGCAGGCCTATCAGCAGAGTATGCAAAGGAATGACTCAGACCACTGTTGCTAAATATTTCTGCCATCACTGAACTTCAAAATGGTGGCAGTAAATTTTGAGAACTACAGTTAATAGTAAAGAAGTTTTGAAATTTCCCCTCAATGTCCATGACACCAGTCAAAAATCAAACCTTCATTACAGTCCCAAGTCATCTTGTGGTGATGGCCTCAAATTTAAGAGGGTTAAAAGGAGCATTTCTTCACTGGTGCATTCATAAATACATCCAGTATGAGTCATTGAACAAGTTCTCTGAGTGTTCTATGGGAAAGGGATTTTTACTAGATACAGAGCAATCTGAGGTGTCATGTGATGAAGGAAGCAGGGCGGCCCATTGCAGAGAACTGCCTTGATGGAAAGAGGAGTCAGATCATTGGACAGACGTTGCCCATCCTTGTTGTGGAAGGGACAGAGCGAGTTCTTGTACAATCAGAGAGCCAGCCCTTTAAGGGAGGCTTGTCCCTTGTAGGGAAGGAGGCCATTGGAGAGATATGGCAGTAGAGAGGCAACTGGACTGTTGTGGATTTTTAATAGGTTTGTCAGACAAAATGGCCAACTTACCAGCAGTACAACTTACCAATCAACTCCACTAATTGGCTGAAATCCAGCTGTTGTTACAGCTGTGAATAATCTTTGTGTTGTAACTGCCTTTCTTCTGTCCTCCTTTGTTAGTTCCCATTGCTCTGTTAGTCTAAATTAGATTGTAAGCTCTTCTGGTCAGGAACCTTGTCATCTTTTATTTCTATTAAACGTCATGCACACTAATGTTACTATGTAAATAATAATAATGCTATTTCAGCATCAAAGTATTATGCTTGGTATGTTTTTTCATATCGCGATACCCAGAATGCTCTTCAGTGCTCACAGCCATTTCAAAGCATTTTGGGTGTCCAAGCTTTTTAGGAAAAATTAAAGGTCTTGACACACACACTTTTTTTCCAGCCCAGGCAGACATACTATGTCTCTTGTTAAGAGGGGGAAAAAAAGGGGAGATAGTTTGACTCCCTGCCATGCTAGTCATGGGAGCCCCAAACCCTCTTTCTCTGCTCCTTTAAAGAATGCCTCCTTTAAATCCTTGACTAATCCATTTTATCTGATCAACGTATCCAATCCCTATGAAGTACCTCCACTGGACATCTGCTGCAAGGAGGTGCCAGTAATTTGCTTGGCTGCCTCCTCCCCATACTTAGCCAGGTATTTACTGAGGCCTTCTTTAATGTCAGCCAAAAATAGATCAGCTCTCCAGTGAGATAGGTGGACCCCATCCTCCCTGAATAAGTAAATAATTTTTACTCCTGGGAAAATGTATAGGATCTGTACCAAGTCCCTCTTGTTTCTCAACATCAAGTCTACCCCTTTACACTTTCCCAAATCATTTTCCCCAAGGTGAAGTACAGTCACATCCGGTCACCAGAGTATACAAGGGGCATCCACTGGTGCCGTATCATGCCCCTCCTGCCATGCTATCTCTGGATTGCTTCACCACTGAGGCTGAGCTGTGAACCTCCTGTCAACCTGGAAGCCAGCCTGTGCACTGTATACACAATATTGTGCCCACAGATCCACACCTGTTCTGTTCATTCCCTTTGGGGCACCTGGCATTGGCCACTATCAGAAGACAGGATACGGGGCTAGATGGACCTTTGCTCTGACTCAATATGGCCGCTCTTATGTTCCCCACTGGCTGCCTAACCCATCTGCAATTGTCTGAAATGGAAACATAAGCAAAATTATTTCTGCTTCCCAACCTGGGGTTTCACATGCATCCTGTATTCATTAGAATGCCAGCGCCCAATTGCCTGAATTGCCTTTGCCCCCAGACCCAGCTGCACCGTCGCTGTAGCCACCCTGATCCGAAATGAATAGGAAACAGATTTATGAGCTGGAAGCCCCACGTCATCAGCCCCAGCTTAAAACTATAACAGACTGGAATGTTGTGAGGGGGCTTCCGTCACTGTGAATAAAGAGGGGCCCATCTTTATTTGGTCTTATTGCAATATATGCCCTCATGGCCCCCACAGGGCAGATTCTCAGCTCGCCACCATCCTACAGTATAATGGATTGACCCCGGCCTCCCAAATCTATCTTTGACATCCTGAATGTTAAGATAGCTAATCATCCTCACAATGTAAATGCCTGAATTCCAAAGCCCTTCCCAAAGTGTCCCTCCATGGCCCAGGCACTAATTTGCTGATCCTAAAAGCCCCCAAAAATTCTACCAGGAATGCCGCCCTGACCAAGGTTGCCTCTTGTTCACAACGACATATAAGATCAGGAATTTTCACCAAAACCTTAAGTGTATTAACAGTGATGGGGCAACATGGGTCGTCTCTGGGGCCAGTGCTTGATGACTACCCCACTATAAACCTCCCAACTGAAATCCCGCCACAAGCATCTTGGTAACCATTCAGCCTACTGACAAATGTAAGTCCCAATAGGAAAGTGGAGATGGTTGATGATGCCAGCCCTTGGCTTGCCACTGACACCATGTACTGAAGTACCCAGTCCTCCAGAATTGGCCAAAGTGTGGACAGGCCCTCCCTCTCCCGAAACTGAACAAAATCATTAAAACCTCTCTCACAGTTCCTAAATGTTTGCAGAGCCTCCGATTGCTAGAGCTTGCAAATCTGTGGGTATCCGCTTTATATTTGCAGATCGCGGATGGATGCAGATCCAAATTTTATATCTAGATCCCTGCAAATCTGCGGATATCCACTTATATCCCTGGATATCCACATCCACGGACCATCTTTGCAGATCACAGATCAGATGCGGATACAAATTTTGCATCCACGCAGGGGTCTACCAATCTTTGCACTGCACTCAAAGCCATCATATGCCAAAGTTGCATACAGTATACACATTTTTTACAATTACTGTAATAATTTTTGTAGACTTTAAAGCAGAATAGAAAGGATTTTTTTTTATTTCCCACCCTCAACATGCAAACACTGTCCTTCCAGCTGAAAACAGGTGGAAGAAACTTCATCCAGAATTCATCATATTGGTTCCTGAATCAATCAGAGATCGCTGCAGAGCTATGTCAGCCATTCCTTAGTAAAATCTTGCATGTTATGTCCACAGAACCCTCACTAGCCCAGATAATGTCTGAACATGAAGTCTTGTCAGATTTGGATCCTCCCATAGGAGTGCTCTGAACAGTTGCTAAACTACTGGAACAACCTAGAGACATAATATTTATAAATATTTTCACATCTGCCATTATAGAGGTTTCTTCTTGAACTGTTAGTTCACAAGCTTCCACTCAACGCACAAACTATTAGCCCTAGTGACTGCTAGTAAAGAATTGTATACTAATTAAATGTCTAATACTGAACCTGCTTTGTCTGCCTAGAAGCCCTGCAAATTTCATCTGCAAATCAGTGGTATTGATATTAATGAAGTACTAGGACAGATCACAAGGATTAGATCGTTAAATTCTCACATGAAAAGTTATAGTTTAGAGATAATAACAATGCCTAGCTCTTACATCATGCTTTTCATAAGTGGATCTCAATGCACTTCACAAGTAAATTCAGATTTTCATAATGAGAATCTATTCAATTGAGATACACTTTAAGGTACAGATATTAAGAAATTCATCATGAAAAATAATATTCATGCATTGTACAGTGGAAGCAGAGTACATTGAACATTCATTTGGATTTGTTATTTTTGACAGTCCAAATTCAAGCTGATGAATGTATGAAAATGTGCTGAGAAATAATGGCTGCCAAGTAGGGCCACAAAACTACCATTAAATTCACATCTTCATATTATAATAAGTATAGGCTGTGTTTGTACCTGTAACATTAATAGTTTCAAGAATTCATTAAAACGATGATGTTCTCTAGTCTTGTTTAAGTGTTTCTAAATTCATGGCATCTGTGTTATTTAGCATGAGAATAAGATATCCAAATTTAATACCCTATGTAGTCTAGAGAGGGTACTGGACTGGGACTCTGGAGAGCTGGGTTCTATGACTTTGAGAAAGTCTCCTCAATTCTCTGTGCCTTGGTTTCCCATCCCATCCTTTGTCTGTTTAGACTGTAAGATTTTCAAGACAGAGTCTCTCCCTTATTATACATTTTTGTAGAATACCTACCACAGTGAGGTACTGATCTTGGTTGGGGCCTCCGGGTGCTATTGCAATACAAATAATTAATTGTGTGAAAGACCATGCCTGTTAAAATATTGTACTTTGGTTAGCTTATTTATATGGGTTACTAATGCCAGATAGCCAAACAGCAGAAGATTTGGTAAAAATAGTCAAATTAATGATCATTTTTTTTGGAGACTATTGGAAGGATTTCTACTCTACTCCTGCATTTTCACAGAAATATTTGTAATGATCATAGGAAGTGGCACAACTAGAAGCCATGCTTGTTGCAATATCTGTCATTAAGATAATCATTGATTGAAACTTAGCCTGATGTTAAGAAATTTCAAGATTTTGGCCCTGGCCTTGGTTCTCACAGAGCTTTATGCTCACCCAATCCTCAGGGCTGCCAGGAAGCAGTTTGGCCATTGCACAATTTAGAGCAGACTTAGGGTTGCTATAAATTGTACCAGCTGGTAACAGCCTCCAAGAGGTTGTTACATCAGCTGGGGATCAACATAGGTGCTCTGGCCGCTAGCTGTGCCGCCCCCTCTCTCCCCACTTCCAAATTCCTAAGTGCTCTGCGGGTGGTGTGTGGTGTCCTCCATGCCAGTGCCATATAGAGGGCCAGAATCTGGTGCTTTAATCTGTGTATTATGTGGGCCTTCTTAAATACTGTACTGTGGCTAGGTAAATAATATGTTTTACAGTAAGGCCACAAAAATAAGCAAATGTTTTGGTAGTCTTTTGTGCAAGAACAGCTAAAGCCAGTCATTTATTTAAGAGAAGTTTCCTTGTTGTTATATTGTTAGTGCTTAGACTTTTTGCCAAGGACCTTACCAGTGGTCTGGCACTCAAGCAGATACATTTTTTTAGATGTTTTATCTCTTCCATCACATTTTAGCAAAACTATAGATCCTTGAACATGTTTATTTCTAAAGTTTGGTCAGCTTCCAGTGATCCATAAACTCTGTTTCAAATTTTCAGTGGTGAGAGAAAACCAAAAATCGATCTTTTCAGAACATGTGTTGCTGCTATTCCTCGATTGCTTCCTGATGGAATGTCAAAACTTGAGTTGATCGACTTGCTGGCAAGGTAAGTGTGTAAACACTGAAAAGATTGATCAGCAGGAATAGAATGAAACTGAGCATCAGTCTGTGTAATTATTTCTTAGAGGCACATAGATGTACACAATCATCTGTTAAAGCTTAAGATTCAACTGACCTGAGCAGCATTATCACAGAGGAGGCATTATGCCTAAGACCCCAAATGTGATACAGAAGCAAATGTGCTTTCTTAAGATGTTTTTCATGCTGTGGATCAGCACATACATTCACCCCCTTGGTAGCCCTTTGAAAACAAACTATTTTTTTGTAATATGATGTATATATAATTCTCACTATTTTTACCATAATAGTATGGTAAACAAGAGAAGAGAGGATTCATTTTTACAGTAATGGGAAAACAAACTTTTAAAATTCAGTTTTGGATTATGAATCCTACACATCAACTTGGCAAAACATAATGTACTAGAGATGGTGTGTTTTCACCTTCTTCTTACTAGTACATCGTAACCAGACTTAGCAAAATTTGATTTTTATTTTTTTATCATTTTGACAGATAATATCAATGGGTTTTGTTTAAGCATTTTCTTCAATTTTTATTTGTTTAAATGTTCACAGTTATGGAGGGGTGTCAAACAATGAGGTGTCAGGCAATAATTATCTTATGACAGTAGAAGTTAAAATTCAAAAATTTAAAGCTTTATAACTGTTAAAACACAAACAGTCAACATCACATGTCAAAATATGCAAAATAAGTATCCTTAAATCAAACTCTGATAAGTTCTCAAGCAGCATTTTTCTTACTTTGCCTATCTGTAAATTTCGATTATTATTGTCGGAAATATTTTTACATCAGTTTGTGAGTGTACAGTGAAATTGACATTTACTGACATTTTACCAATAAAAACCTAATCTTTCCCAGCCTAATCATAATTATTTTTAATTAAAAGAGAAAAAATAGAGAGGCAGGAGTGCTTGGATCTCTGTCTCCCAGAGCTGGGGTCCTTACCTCTGATTTGTCTGGATACAGTGTCACTATCGTGAAGGAGGGGGATTAAGGCACGGCATCTATACAATGGAGGTGGGCTCGTAGATATCATAGCAGTGATACAATGCAAGTCTGAGAAGATTCAGTTGTAGGACAGTTATGATAAGAGATGATGGTAGCAAAGAACTTTCAGCAAGGAACCCTTTGCCATTATATCTCAATTCTGGTGTCAGGGTACCTTTGCTAAGTGATTTCAACATATTCCCTTAAAATGGAATTATTATTGGATTACAGTGACAAAGCAAGTCATTGTGGCCACCATTATTATCAGATAAGTGACTAACCAATTTGGGCCACGTCCTAGGTTGTGTCTAAACTGTACAGGATGGAGTCTTGGGGTCAGAGGTTTAAAGATAGTTGATTCTGCCCAACTCCTTTGTGCTGTGGTACCAGCTTCCATCTGGGATAATGGATGTGGGGCCCATGCTTAATATTTTAGTAGCTTAGTAATGACTTGTCAGCACGTGCACTCATTCATCATTCTCTGATGGGCCTATGGCAGTTGTTGCTTCCTTGAAAGGCAGCTAGGGAAGTAACATGAGGGTCTAATCTAGATGGAAGTTTATGAACTACTCCACTGACCTTTAACCTAAAGACACAAAGTTGTTTTTACATCTTTATCAGAATAAAGCGCATTCACTATAAAACAATGAAAGTTTTCCCAGTCGCAATTCAAATATGGGCTATTTCCCTCACACCAGTTTTCTCCTGCCACCCATGCTGCATCCCAAGGGCTCCGACTTTACTGGTCTGGAGATGCTGCATAATGTGTTACAATATTTTCTCACTTCAGGTTCAGGATTCATCACATTTTGTGACTAAAATCCATACTGGAATCTAAAGTTTTGGAGATTCAACCTTTCCTAACTATAATCCTTTTGAAAAGAGAAATCCAGAGTCCTGGGCCACCTTTCAGTAGTGGTCTGTGTGAGCTCTGATGTTTGGACAAAAAGCTATTAATGTGTTTTTCTTTCTCAAGATTAAACAACATCTCTGGCTTAACAGATTCTTTTACCCACAGTTTAGTTTGAATTTTCATCCTTAGAACAGATGTGTCTTTTGGCAAATCCCAGAAAGAATCTGTAACTCAAAAACTAGGTTTTCTTCCAAGACAGCTGTATCCAAATTATGAACAGCAAAGCAGATGTCAAGCTCATATTCTGCCTTTTGCTGCCCACTGGATCCATTTATTACAAATCCCCAAGGTAGGTTTTAGATTTAAGGGTTTGAAGTGCAAACAAGTGAATATTTACTGGCTTTGGTGATCTTTCTTGCTCAGTAAGAATTATGAGAAACCAAACTGCTTACTACCACCAATATACTACAGGATGACTTGTCTTTATATTTTCTTGACATCACCTGATCTGCTTCATCCTAAAAATGACTTTGCCAAGCCAAATTATTTACCAGAAAGAGTTCTTCTCATAAAGTCTTACATCTGAGTAATAAAGAGAAATTCTTAATGCAGCCATGGTAACTCATCCAATTCATGTCCATTCTACTGACTCCACTATCATAGTATTACAGAGCTATGGTTTTATACTAGGTTTAATTTTAATCTCTCTTGATGATGTTGTCCAATGCATTTATACAGTAACTTGAGCTTGGAGGCAGTTTTAGTCTGTATTTTGTTTTCCACTACCTCCATGTGTCACTTAGGAAGAGTCATTTTATGAATGACTCAGTCATAATCTGAGTTTATTGCTTGGTTTTGTGATCTTTAGTGTCCAGAGGAGAAGGTGATAAATTGCCTTCCTTTAGTGCCAGAGAAACACAGTAATTCCCAATTTGTTAAGAATTTCATGTGGATATTTCACAGGTTATACCTCCAGGGGCGAGGATGGGCACCTCTCTCATCCCAGATGTTCTTTTCCTGGCTGTAAATCTTGCTGTAGCTCTGGTTTGGAATGTTGGGTGCGGGCCTCTGACTGGAAGTTTGAGGGAGGCAGCTCTCTCCCTTCTGGGCATAACAGCCGTTCAAAATATAAAAGGGAAACAAAATAGTCCTGCAGGCCACAAAACAGTCCGGGCTCACCCTTGCTTTCCCTCACAAGGCAGAAGGTCAGTAGTCTCTGTGAAGGGGGAATGGGTTCATAATCCCCTGTATGTCTGAGGTTGCCCAGGCTGAGTGCCCTGGGCCCTAACAAAAGAAGAATAATGAATTAAAGATGGTCCCTCTGTGTCTCCAGAGGGTCCATGCAGCAAAGGCTCTTAAGCAGCTTTCCCGGGTAAGCAGCCCCTGCTCTGTGCTCTAGTTTTGCTTCCCTCTGAGTGCCACCCTGCACTGGGCTTGGACCCTCCCTTTTAAGAAGCTGCCCATCTCAGGTTTGGCAGGCCTCACAGGTACTGAGAGGAGCTCTTTCACCCTTTGCTGACTGGGGTAGAAACCTGATCCCACCACAGGATCATAGAATCATAGAATATCAGGGTTGGAAGGGACCTCAGGAGGTCATCTAGTCCAACCCCCTGCTCAAAGCAGGACCAATTCCCAGCTAAATCATCCCAGCCAGGGCTTTGTCAAGCCGGGCCTTAAAAACCTCCAAGGAAGGAGACTCCACCACCTCCCTAGGTAACGCATTCCAGTGCTTCACCACCCTCCTAGTGAAATAGTGTTTCCTAATATCCAACGTAGACCTCCCCCACTGCAACTTGAGACCATTGCTCCTTGTTCTGTCATCTGCCACCACTGAGAACACCTGAGCTCCATCCTCTCTGGAACCCCCCCTCAGGTAGTTGAAAGCAGCTATCAAATCCCCCCTCATTCTTCTCTTCTGGAGACTAAACAATCCCAGTTCCCTCAGCCTCTCCTCATAAGTCATGTGCTCCAGACCCCTAATCATTTTTGTTGCCCTCCGCTGGACTCTTTCCAATTTTTCCACATCCTTCTTGTAGTGTGGGGCCCAAAATAGGACACAGTATTCCAGATGAGGCCTCACCAATGTCAAATAAAGGGGAACGATCACGTTCCTCGATCTGCTGGCAATGCCCCTACTTATACAGCCCAAAATGCAGTTAGCCTTCTTGGCAACAAGAGCACACTGTTGACTCATATCCAGCTTCTCGTCCACTGTGACCCCTAGGTCCTTTTCTGCAGAACTGCTACCTAGCCATTCGGTCCCTAGTCTGTAGCAGTGCATGGGATTCTTCCATCCTAAGTGCAGGATTCTGCACTTGTCCTTGTTGAACCTCATCAGGTTTTTTTTGGCCCAATCGTCTAATTTGACTAGGTCCCTCTGTATCCGATCCCTACCCTCTAGTGTATCTACCACGCCTCCCAGTTTAGTGTCATCTGCAAACTTGCTGAGAGTGCAGTCCACACCATCCTCCAGATCATTAATAAAGATATTAAACAAAACCGGCCCCCAGGACTGACCCTTGGGGCACTCTGCTTGAAACCGGCTGCCAACTAGACATGGAGCCATTGATCACTACCCGTTGAGCCCGACGATCTAGCCAGCTTTCTATCCACCTTACAGTCCATTCATCCAGCCCATACTTCTTTAACTTGCCCGCAAGAATACTGTGGGAGACCGTATCAAAAGGATCATGAAGCATAGCAATCCACTTTGGAGTCATGTTCTCTGTTGGTGACGTTCCATGGCAATTAGACTTTCCTTGCATAGAATAAAACAGTCTTTGACATGCCTATGAAGAATTTCAGACTGGTTGGAGTCAATTAACTTCACTTTTACACACACTGAACCAAATTCTTCTCTCAATTTTACCACATTGTACAATTTTAACGGAAAAGAATTTGGTCCACTGCATATTATTAGGGTCCCTCTAGATTTTTCTCTAATTATTCACAAATAGATCCTCATTTCTAATTATTCAGGGACAACCACATTTAAATACTTGGCAAGTGGATGCTAACCCATCCATCAATATTACCAACTTTTGGTTAATGAAGACTTAGTACACTATGGAAGTGACAAACTTAAAAATATGCTGAGCGTATTGATCTTTAAGTGTTTCATTCTGCCCAGCTACAAGCTATGAAGTGACTTTCTCATTTTGTTCTAAAGAGGAAACATGGATTGCTGTCCATCAGAAAAGGGCACAAATGAGGTGCAAATATAGAAACAGAGAAAATAAAAGAGAGAAAATGGGATCTAAAATGCCAGTTCCTTAGAAAATACTTGGGGGGGATAGACTTCTAGTTCTTAAAAAATTGAGAGTATCATGGAGCTTGTGGTTTCTATTTCTATTTCCCAGAAGAAATGAAAGTATGAGGCAATGTTTGTGTTCTAGTTAGGAATTTTTAATTTCATTTAAAGTTCCTCTCTCAAGTAACTATAATTTGCTTTTTCTGAGTTGAAGGTTCATTTTAAATGTTCTATGGGCACATGGGAGATTTTTTTTCCGTTTTTTTTTGTTTGTTTGTTTGTTTGTTTGATTTTATCTTGGAAGTAAAAAAAAAATCTGAGGTGCATGCATTATCGTGAAAGTCTTTTGATCTCATAAGTGATCAAGTCAGCAGTATACTTTGTTCTGAGAAACTGCAAAGTTGCCATATTTCAACTATCTTGAAACATGCTCCTGTAGGTGAAAAAAATAAGTTGCTCATAAAGTTGCTCTATAGTATCTTTTTTAATTTCTATAAAATGTTGATGATGGTGATTCTGGTCAATAACAATAAAAGCTTGAATCGTTTTATGAAATTTTACATTAACTTTGGGGAATTTCTGTCAGTGTTAATTTATACTTTGCTCAATTACACCATTTAATGGTGTTTACATTTTTAGTGTCACTTTTATTTTAACATGCAGACTCTCTATTCACATGGATGATGAACTTCGGCACATTGCACAAAATTCTCTTCAGGGTCTACTTGTTGACTTTGTTGACTGGCGAGAGGATGTGCTCTTTGGTTTTACTAACTTCCTACTACGTGAAGTGAATGATATGCATCACACTCTTCTTGATACTTCCCTGAAGTTGCTGCTACAGTTGCTTACACAATGGAAACTTGTAATACACACTCCAGGAAAATCCAGTGAACAGACAAAAAGCAGATCATCAGAGGTATGAATAAAAGAGAACTGCATTCCAATAGTTATACCCATTTATGATGCTATTTAACTTTTCCTGGATAGTGTTCTGTTTTATGTATGCCTTATTTACTCAAGTTGTACCCCAGCAGAATTCACTGCTGTTAGACTTTTTTCTATAAAACAGTTGGTTCAGCTGTCTCATAGAAGCATAGAAATGTAGGGCTGGAAGCAGGGGTGAAAGTAGAAATAGGGACTTACCGGTACGGGGCTGGGTTGGGGCCGGTTCTGGCCCCCGGAAGGGGCGGGGCCTCAGGCGGAAGGGGCGGGGATGGGGGGTCAGAGCCAGCCCCGGCCCGCCCTGTACTGGTAAGTGCCCTCCCCCTCCCCTGCCAGGGTAGCAGCGGCAGCTGGGGGCTCCGGCAGCAGTTTAAAGGGCCCAGATCCGCTGCTGGGAGCCCCAGGCCCTTTAAATTGCCTCCTGGGGAAGCTGGGCCGCCCCGGTATGGCACACCAGCTCTTGCTGGTACACCGTACCGGGGCGTACCGGCTTACTTTCACCTCTGGCTGGAAGGGACCTACAGGTTATCTACTAGTCCATCCACCCATGCTGAGGCAGGATTAAGTGTACCTAGAACAGCTGTTACCCTTTGCAGCATAGTACATGTCACTGTAGTGCAGCAACATAGGAGAATGTATGTCAAACCAGAATAGGCTTGTTAACAAAAACATATAAAAGAGGTGGGGCTGTTTTACCCTTCAAACTTTCTAAAATTTGATATTTTGTTTGGATAAATAAGCATTTATAGCCAAGATTTTCAAAAGTGAATTTAGGTGTCTCAATATTTTAAGTGCCCAAATTGAGATACTGTAAAAGGGCTTAATTTTCAACAGTGGGTGGGTGATCAGCACTTTTTGAAAATCAGCTGAGCAAGAAACTGAACAAACCATTTGCTTTTAACAGAGATTTTCAATAACTTTTTTGTTTGTATTCCCTAAACGATCTGTCAACGTCTAAAAGATTTGGCCACACTTTCCAATATCTCTCACTCTACCTTTGTCATGTATTTCTCATGTAATAGCACCATATTAACACCTACGTCATGAAATATCACGGTAGATTATGTTGAATCAATAATACTATATAGACCCAATGTGTTTTTAGAGGAGATCACTATGCTTCCCAATGATGCCGACTCTCATGATTTTATTGAGTCTTGCAATATTCATTTTTTCTGAAAGCCCCAGCTTTTGGAGTCCCATGATTACATGAGAATCTCAGCTTTCATTTAAAAATGAAATTAAGTTTCTAGACCATATAGTCGGGGAAGAAAACTTGAAAACATGACCTGAGTGCACCTTAAAGGCTCAAAAACCTGAAGACAACTAAAAAGACATCCTCCTCCGTTTATTTTGGTCTTATTTTTTATCAATATTATGATTTGTGGGGGGCTGACTCATGATGCTTGTCATAGTCAGCACTGAGATTAACACAATTATTTAATTATCTGCTGTAAGGACTTGATCCTGCATGTAGAAATGCTCATTGCTAATCTTGAGCCAGCATCTGAAAAGCAATTGCCCCCCTTCCTATCTTCTGTTCCTGCCCAGAATGAAAATGGGGATCTTGCAGTTATAAGGGTGGCTGGGGCTATGGACAATGGAGTGGAGCTTCACCTCCCTTAGCTGCCACATTGGTCAATTCAAGGGATGGGGAGGGAGGTGATTAGTTCCAGCAAAACCCCCACCCCAGGCATGTTTAAGCATTGAACATTTCTTCTTGCTGAAAGCTATCCCATCTACCCAGTAGGTACTCTAGTTGTCAGAGCTGGGTTTCCAGCAGTGACAGATTAGGCACTGGGCCTACAGGGCCTGTGTCCAGGGGCCCTGGACAAACCGGGAGTCCCGGAGTCCTGTCCGCCGGGAAGGCAGGGAAAGCCCCATGCCTGACCCCGCTCCCCCGTAGCAGCGCCTTGCGGGCGCGGCAGGAGAAGCCCCTGTGCCCTCGCGTCTCCACTCCCCAGCAAAAGCCAGGGGCTGCATGGGGAAGCCCCTAGCGCCCCGACCCGTCTCCCGCAGAAGCATGGGAGTTGGCGGGGGAAGCCCCAGGACTGGGACTCCCTCTGTGGCCCCGGGACTGAAGGAGCTCTCGGTACCTGCCGCAGCCTCAGGGCTGGGGGAGCTCTCCCTGCTGCAGCTTGAGGCTGTGGCAGAGGGACAGAGCTTCTCCAGTCTTGGAACTGCAGTGTGGGGGAGGGGCCCAGAAAGTAGCAAAATGGTTGTGGGGCTGCAGTGGGGGTGCAGAATATGGGGACCCTGGGTGGAATGGGGGCAGGGCCCTGGGGAAGAGGCAGAAAGGCGGGGCTGCTGGTGGAAGGGATGGGGTAGGGCCCCCCACTTGCTCTGGCCCAGGGTTCCAGGAAACCTTAATCCGCCTCTGCTTTCCAGGCCTGCTGTGGGTCTAATCCAGTTGTTTTTTTGGGATCAGGGAGGAATTTTTCCCTCTGGGCAAGAATGATAAGGTATCTAGTGGGTATCCTGGAGGCCTGGCAGGTGGGGATAATAAGAATAAGTTATGGTACTTATGAAAATAATTAAAAAGGGGGAAGGGTTAAATAAATTTCAATAAATATTGTTGCAATTTGTGGTTGGTGTCCAGTGCAGGTAATAGGCTTCAAAGGGTCAGCACATGGGACAGAGCACAATACCTAGGAGGGCCTAGTGGACCCTGTTAACCTGTAGGATGAGAGGAAGTCTTAAATCCCTGGTCCACCTTCATGCCCCCTTGCAGGAGGAGGATAGTGGAATCTAGCAGTGAGCTTAACCTTGAATTAAGTGGAGAGCCACTAAGAGAGCCAATCCTCATTCCTTCATTGTATGTCATGGGCCATTTAACCCCACATGGGACCCAGTTAATGCCTGATAGCTTGGGTGGGGTCAGTCCCCCCTTAAAACTAAAATAAAGTTGTGGCCTATCTGTTTTCATTCTCGTGAGCGTCCTGGCCAAATAGAGCATTTCTGAGTAACCTCATCCTCATCCCCCATTAATATTTTCCTCTTTTGAGTATAGTTTTCTCATTTCTTTACAGCTGATACCAAACGGATCCAGCCATAGGATACAGTCTGAAAGAAGTCCTTATTCCAACGTACTGCATGCTGTGGAAGGATTTGCACTGGTACTACTTTGTAGTTTCCAGGTTGCTACCCGTAAACTAGCAGTTTTGATTCTCAGAGAGATCCGTGCTTTATTTCTCGCCCTGGGGCAGGCAGAGGTATGGATTTTTTTTAGAAGTTTCAAAACAAAATTTTCCAGAGATAAAGTCTGAACTAAAATTAACAGTGCTGCTTTACCATAATGCATATAATGCAAGAGGTCATTTATTATAAATAAAACATTTGACCTATTTGGAATTTGCCATTTTAATTTGTCTGATTATTGCAGACCTTACAGTTTATGGGCTGTAAAGGACTAATCACGTTCTTTTTGCAAAACCTGTTATGTTGTTCACAAAGAACCTCCAGTTTTGCACAACATCTAACCCTTTTTCAGTTTTTTTTCTGTTATAAAGTACACCCAAAAGTATACTGTAAAATCGTTCCTTGAATTGGGCAAATAATTTTTGTATCATCAGCATTATTAATTTTTAGTGAAAATAAAATTCACTATTACAACATGTCAGTATATTCAACAAATAAACAGCATAATAAACATTTAACTTTATTCACATAAAATATTCCTTGTACAGTACAGAAGTCTAACTTTTTTCTTGTGTACAGATATAAAAGTATGTAGTCTTGCTGTGTGTGGATGGCCCCAACACACTGAGCCATCTAGCTGCCTGAGAACACAAATGTGTGTTCATAGAAAAGGAATGCTTTAGTTAAACAGTTAAACTAGGTTTTCAGTCCTTTGATACCAGATGTCCCAAGTCATATGGGATTTTCTGATGAGCACTTTTGTTCAGTGAACTAAGGCCAGTAATTAACTTCCTTTCAAACCACAAAATGGGCTTGACTTTGAGGTTAATACAACAAAAGGCAAAATTTATCCATCAAGACAACCACCTGAATATATTTTTTACCAGTTCTGTATCTTATAATCTTTCATGCAGTTCTGTTTCGTGTATTAAACAAAGATGAAAAGAATCAGTTAGCTAAGGAAAGTAGTTGACTGCTATTACCTTAATTTGTACAGGATGATGACAGGCCGATGATTGATGTCATGGATCAACTAAGTTCTTCTATTCTTGAAAGTTTTATTCATGTGGCAGTTTCTGATTCGGTAAGTACTTGCTTATTTTCACTGATTGCTAATGGTTCGCCATATATGCTGAACAAATATAACATGAAATAGTTAAAGAAAGCTATTAGAAATGCACAGAAAATTCCTGTGCCACGTGCTAGACATGTAAAAGATATATGATTAGTCTAAAAACTGCAGTTATATTTCAAAACATTTTAACACTACAGGTAATTCATTTATTATTCAGCTGAGCACGAGTTGCCTCTGTAAGTGCACTATTACTACACCAGCCATGGTAATTTATCTGGTGATAGACATTTGCAATATACCACCAGCTATTTCATGTTTATAGGGGCAGATCCTCCAGCTCGTGTGAATTGTCATAGCTCCATTGAAATCAGTGGAGTTATGAGAATTTACACCAGCTGAGGATCTGCCCCTTATTGTACGTAAGTGTCAGTACGAGTTCTGGGTTTGTTTTATCCTGGCAGTCATAAAATATACACTGTACTACAGTAGCAACCAATTGTGCTAGGTGCTTTACAAACATAAAGAAAGACACAGTACCTGCCCCAAAGCTCCAGGGGTTTTATTTATGGGTAAAATTTTCAAAAGCATTTAAGTGACTTAGGTACAAAAGTCTGTAACAAAACTGAAAATTTAACTGAAAATTTGTATCTATGTCAGTATATGTATGTATGTAAATGTGTACATAAAAACATATGCCCACGTTGCTTAGTCATTGTTCGTTCCTTTGTTTTGTTTTTGTCAATATAGAAGTTTGGTATATGATATTAAAACAGTTTTATATATACAGTTATGACCCAATAACATCAGTGTTTTTCAGATTTAATTCATGTTATTAATGTACCAAATTTACACATTTTTAGCCTTCATTCCCACAGATATTTTTCTTAAGAAAAGAGTTAAAGAATATACAGTAGAGAAATGGTTTCTTCATATGATGGGAACAGCTCTTGCCAATAGGAGATGGCATTTATAACCAATTGATGCCTTGATTGAGCAAAACGCGCGAGCATCTTTATTTAGGAAGTAGATGCCTAAATGCCTTGCAGACCTAAATAGTTGGGAATAAGTTATTACCACTGTGATTTTTGTTTTGTTTTTTCTTTCCACAGACTACATTACCATTAACACACAATGTGGATTTGCAATGGCTGGTAGAATGGAATGCAGTCTTAGTAAATAGTCATTATGATGTAAAAAGCCCTTCTCATGTCTGGATATTTGCACAGTCAGTTAAAGATCCATGGGTTCTCTGCCTCTTCAGTTTTCTTAGACAAGAGAATTTACCAAAACATTGTCCTACGGCTCTTAGCTATGCTTGGCCATATGCTTTTACGAGGTTACAGCTAGTAATGCCTCTTGTGGATCCAAAGTAAGTGATACTCTGGGTTAGTGACATTATTATGTAAATTCTATAGTCCCATATTTTCAGACCAGTTTGGCAGTCCAGCTATGCTAATAGTATCCAAACTTTTGGTATTTGATATGATAATTGCCACTTTAAACTGTAATGATTCCTTTTCTGATTGCCTTCATTGATTTTATTTTTACATCATATAATATTTAATAGTATAATTGTTGTTACTCAGCTTGTTTCGTTTTTTAAAAAAGCTCTGGAAAATTAAAATTAGGAACTGGAATTAACTATTTTTTTTTTTAATTCCAGTATCCCTGTTAATGCAAAGAAAACCAGTACAGCGAGCAGTGGAGACAACTATGTAACTCTGTGGAGAAACTATCTTATTCTCTGCTTTGGAGTAGCGAAACCCAGTATTATGAGCCCGGGACACTTACGTGCTTCAACTCCAGAGATCATGGCTACCACTCCCGATGGAACAGTAAGCTACGATAACAAGGTGACATGGCATGCTTCAGAAGAATTATTCCATAATTATTTTAAATATGTTTTTAAAAGAATTTACATGTGAAAGCCAAGTAGTAGTGATAAAAGTACATCTGAGGACTATTTCGACATATGTGATTTAGTTTAAGTATTATTGAAAACATTCATTTGTATAGCACATTACACCATTTGCCATTAAACATTTGACAATTCCCGTGGTATTTGCAGCACATTCCTGTGTTATGTTGTTAATTTGTATTCTAAGTAGTATATATTCCAAGTATGGAAATGCTGCACATAATATGCTAAAGTTAACTTTACCTTGTGTCATGCTTTTAATGCAGATCACTCTGTTAAGTACTTTTATAGCACATACATAAGCAATAAGGCACAATGGGCAATGTATTTCTGCGTCATTATTGCAATTCTGGAGTGTGATATGAAACCAAAGGCCAAGTGGTAACTGCTTGAGAAATGTACTAGTTCCTACAAATTCATTGACTGGAGTCTTTTGTTGATATTGTAAACTTAATAAAAAAAGTACAATACTATTTATGAAAATAAAGTACAATACTGTCTTTTAAAATACAGAAAACTTTTAAACCAGGGTGGATAAATATCGATTAAAAAATTAAAATCAGATGTTTTATTTAAATTCAGATTTATTTATAGAAATATGCTATTTAAAATTAAATTTGAAATTGACAACCTATGTTAAGGCCTAAACTTACTATAATATATTAAAATCATTTAAAAGTTAACTACAAAAAATAATATTGGAGTACTTGTTTGCTGCCAAGATTTAAAGAAAGTCAGCCCACTGAACTGGTGGAAGTCACTGGCTAAGCACCTGGATCCGGAGCTGTTGAAGTGCCAAACCAGCTTTTGACAGCAGTAACCTTTTCTGCAGATGAAGAGACTGTTTTCTTCATTTCTGTTTATTCAGCTAGTTCAGTTCAATGACTCTTTTATGCAAAGTTAAGTAACCAGTTGGAAGTTGAAAAAGCCGGAAAGCTTTTTTTTTTTTCTTCCAATCTATCAATAAAAACTAGATGTGAAAGGATGAGATCTACTGGTTCTAAAATCTTGAAGGATGTAGTGACCAGAAATAATCAGTTCAACTCACTAACAATAGATCGATAGATTTTCAAGGCCATTGTGATCATCTAGTCATATAACAGAGGCCATAGAACTTCCCCAAAATAATTCCTAGAGCATATCTTTTAGAAAAACATCCAATCTTGATTTCAAAATTGTCACGGACAGAGAATCCACCACGACCATTGGTGAATTGTTCCAATGGTTAATTACCCTCACTGTCAAATTTACATCTCATTTCCCGTCTGAATTTGTCTGCTTCAACTTCCTGCTGATGGATGAATGGATGGATAAACTGTTTAATAAATCAGTTCGTTTTAAATGCAAAACATGTTTCGATAAACTTTTTTCTTATGCTTTGTAAGGAAGTTTTATTTAATTAAAAATGGCTGTTTTGTGCATTTTTAATTTAATTTTAATTTCCATCCAAATAGAGCATAACATCAATCACTAGTAAAAATTAATCATCATCTAGTAAATGAGAAATGCAGCACTCTCCATTTTCTAACATAGAAAAATGTAAAAAAATAAGAGTCTGAATAAATGTAAGTTAAAGCTATCTAATTGCTTAAATAAATGTGTATAGATATAGTGTATCCTCCTGGTTAGCAAAAAGAAACACTACATTTAGTGAAAGAGTATATCTGGTTGCAAATCAACATGTTTTAATGGTTACCAACCAATGAGAATAAACCTTTTTTAAGGAATATAAGTAAGTTCAAATGTAAAACAAGATTCAAAATTAATTATTTAGAACATAAGAACATAAGAATGGCCGTACCGGGTCAGACCAAAGGTCCATCTAGCCCAGTATCCTGTCTACCGACAGTGGCCAATGCCAGGTGCCCCAGAGGGAGTGGACCTAACAGGCAATGATCAAGTGATCTCTCTCCTGCCATCCATCTCCATCCTCTGACAAACAGAGGCTAGGGACACCATTCCTTACCCATCCTGGCTAATAGCCATTAATGGACTTAACCACCATGAATTTATCCAGTTCTCTCTTAAACGCTGTTCTAGTCCTAGCCTTCACAACCTCCTCAGGTAAGGAGTTCCACAAGTTGACTGTGCGCTGCGTGAAGAAGAACTTCCTTGTATTTGTTTTAAATCTTTAAATCAATGTTTTCTGCTTGCTGATTTAAATCATGATTAAAATCAGTGATTGAAATTGCTTTGATCCATATATATACTGGACTTTACTCACATAGATATGATGTAGAAGACAGACAATTAGAACATATCCACAGTTATAAAGTGATTTCATTATGATTTACAAAAGGCACTTTTTGACTCTTAAATTATTCTTTTTTTGTTGAATACTCATTCATGCTTTGGAATCTGTAATTGTTTATTTGATATGGATAATGCTAATAATTAAATGTTGGTGATTTCTTAATAAATATATTTTAGGCTATAGGAACCCCATCTGTTGGAGTCCTGTTAAAGCAGCTAGTACCTTTGATGAGACTTGAAAGCATAGAAATCACAGAATCACTTGTATTAGGATTTGGAAGAACAAATTCTCTTGTTTTCAGGTACTGCACAGTTTACAATAATCTCAGGAACTTGCTTTTAATTCAGATATGCTGTTTTTGTTTTAATGTAAAATTATTAATTTTTAAAATTTTAATTCTAAAATGTTAGTGTTTATGTAATAGGGTGTTGAATTTTGTGGAAGAAGGGAGTGACAAGGAGCACTGAATTAGCCGTCTATGCTTGTGATGTGGTATTGGATGGAAGTTCTGGGTGAAAGCTACAGATAGCTTTTCCCCAGTAACTTAATATTTCATAAGCACTAAAAAGCTTTACCTTTCTATTTGTATTAGGTTTAATCTAACCTTCCATTATGTTAGTACTTTCTCCCACTGCCTTAGTGTAGAAACCGCAGCCCTAGTTGGAACCCTTCCTAAGATTTGTCCTTGCTCGTTGGACCACAAGAATATCAATGCCCAAATATGTAGCTGGGAGGGAACATACACTATCCAGATCAATAAATGTGTTATAGAAGCCTTATAGAGTGCAGTGTAATACTCTTTGTCTTAAAAGGAGCATTTAATTCATGAAGATGAACTCAATTATGAAGGATTTTGTTTAGAAAGTTTTTGTTTTGTTTTATTTTAGGGAATTAGTAGAAGAACTTCACCCATTAATGAAAGAAGCCCTAGAAAGAAGACCAGAGGTTAGTTCAAGAAATGAGATTTGTTTATTTAAATTGCAACATGAAGTTAAAAGTAGTAAATGTGTTTCTTTAAAAAAAAAAAAAAAACAGAAAGATAGCCTATTGGTAACTCTAGCTTGATATTTAATAAAGGAACTTTTTAATAAGAAAAAATTAGAAAGCAATTCCATTTAAAACTGAATTTAAATGGATTATTTAAAATTAAATTATTGTGTAAAATATACAGTTCATACATTTTTATTTATATTTTTTAGGGGAGGAACAAGTTAGTTAAATACAGTGGCACCTCTTCATGGTGAATTTAGATATAGTGAAATCCCACTTACAATGGTGAGGGGAAAAGATATTGTAACATGACTGAACCACAACCATGTTTCACAACAGTGTTGGAAATATGGTTTATCTCTGTAGTATAGACAGGTCTTACCAGGGACATCAGTTTCTGTTAGCCCTTGTCTACACTAGAAAGCTGCCCTTCTACTGGTATAGTTCTAGTTCTGTAACCTCCAGCCCCCCAGTGTGGATGCAATTAAATTGATATAAATAAAATAAAATTGCTTATACCAATATAACTTATTCCCTTCTAAGGTATCTTTATATTGATATAACTGCATCCGCACTAGGGATTGTACTAGTATAACTATATTGATAACAAATCACACCCCTAAACAAAATAATTATGCTGGTACAACTTTCAAGTGTAGACTGCCCTTGTACTCAGGGAAAATATAACTTTTAATGAGGTTTTCCTATATTGACTGCAAATTCCACTACTAAGTGCAGTGACTGGTCTTATCACTTTCCCTTGATTTTTTTGTCATTTAGAGCAATAGGAAGAGGGGAAGGACAGGGAAGACATACTTTCTGGTGTTCACTGGAAGACAAAACAAGTCATCTTTGTAGCTCCCTTCACTCCCAAGAAGGCTTTGCAGGCTGCACTTCCAGCTAGGTTAACCAGATATCCTGATTTTATAGGGACAGCCGCGGTATTCAGGGTTTTCTTATGTAGGTGCCTATTACCACCCACCCCCATCACCCTACTTACAGCGGTCCAGGCAAAGAGCAGGCCTTGCTAGCTGACTTCACATTTGTCAGGAGCAAAGCAGGGTTTTTTCTGGAGGTGAAGGAGAGCTTCCTGGAAGCGTTAGGTGAAGAGGAAGCCTTGGGGTTCTGAGACACTAAACCACACTTTCTCCTAGTGAAAGTATAAAATACAGGAGAGAGTTTATGAACTGAGACTACCATGGTTGTAGGAAGTACTGTTGATGCTCACTTTCAAAGATCCAAGAGGCAGCATTCTTGGATATCATATGATAATATTTCAGCACATGAAGAAAGTGTGTTTTCAGCACCAAAACTTGAATATTAAAAGTTATTTCTGGTCCAGAATTTCAAGAATACCATGTCCACTTTTTCCTCATGGACAAATATGGCTATAAACTGTTTCTTCAAGAATTGTTTAGAAAGTTAGAAATGTGAACATACCTGTGTTGTTATGTAAGCACACCTGTACTATGGTACACACAAATATAGTAGTACTCCACCATAAGCAAATACATCAGTTATACTGCTTTGCTTTAAACACAGCTTCAATGACCAGGCTTGCATTATTTTAATGTCTGCACCTCCACATGTATTAAGTATCTCTTTTTTTAACCCCAAGAATAAGAAACGCCGTGAGCGCCGAGATCTGCTGAGACTGCAGCTATTGCGAATTTTTGAATTGCTTGCTGATGCTGGTGTTATAAGTGACAGGTAACACTGTTTTGTATGGAAGAATTTCCACTGGTGATGTCATCATTCTGTTTGTTAGTAGCTTCTTTGAACAATTATAAAACATACAAAATATGTTTTTTTAAAATATGCGACTATGGAAGCTTTAAATCTGTGTTTAAAGATTATAATGTATTACGTCGCAAGTTAAGTGCACTGTCACTCATATTGAAATGTTCAACTTTTCTTTATCCTAGTACAAATGGAGCCTTAGAGAGGGATACTTTAGCCCTTGGAGCCTTGTTCTTAGAGTATGTTGATCTAACTCGCATGCTGCTAGAGGCTGAAAATGATAAAGAAGTTGAAATTCTTAAGGACATGAGAGCACATTTCAGTGCCATGACTGCCAACTTGATTCAGTGTGTTCCAGGTATGATATATTACCTCATTATATTACACAACTACATTTAACACAGTGTAAGTACAATTGATATATTAATTCACTATTTAATTTTTCTGGTTTTCTCTTTATAAGCCACACTTCATAAGGTTGTTTTGTAGCAAATATTAGAGGGAATTTGGGCAACTGAATACAGAATTCTCTCAAGAATCAAAACAAAAAACATAGCAAAGCTTGCAATGCACATATATGACTCTTCTCTTTCTAAGCCCAGCAAATGAACCATACACAGCCTGCTGCAGCTCCAGATTTCTTTTACATAGGGCTTTATCCTGCAACCTTTGAAGTGTCAAAATTTTCATTAACTTCATGGGAACTCAATCAGGCCCATAGAAAAGAAAAAAATCTCTATTGATAGCTGCAGTAAATGTTTTTTCAGTTTTAAACATATAGTGGAAAACTTGCTTCCAGTTGTACCCCATTTCAGCAAAACTCCCTTTGGCCTTTCTTACAGCAACGGATTGCTCATATCTGCTCTTGCTTTGCTATATTATTATAATATTGCCATATACTCATGCATTGTGTGTGTTGCAAGATTGTTTTTAAAATGTAAAGTAATTCTATTAGCAAATAAAGTAAAAAGGTCTGCTTCAAAAGGCTCCACCTAACTAATAGAAACTAAAATATGGACACTTGCTCGCTCCCAGTACATTTGCTGTTTACAGAATATTTGACAGACAACATCAACAGGCGTACCAAGGAGTAGGAAGGCGGGAATGCAGAAGAATTAGGGAAAGAGTAATGAGAGTACGCATTAATATAGGCCAGAAACATGCACAACTGGATGGTTTCATGATTTGGTTGTTTTCAGGTGTATGATATATGTAACATATATAAGGCCTGGTCTAAACTATGAGTTTAGGTCGAATTTAGCAGTGTTAAATCGAATTAACCCTGCACCCTTCCACACAACAAAGCCATTTACTTTGACATAAAGGGCTCTTAAAATCGATTTCTGTACTCCTCCCCGATGAGGGGAGTAGCGCTGAAATCGACATTGCCATTTTGAATTAGGGTTAGTGTGGCCGCAATTCGACGGTATTGGCCTCCGGGAGCTATCCCACAGTGCACCATTGTGACCGCTCTGGACAGCAATCTGAACTCGGATGCACTGGCCAGGTAGACAGGAAAAGCCCCGCAAACTTTTGAATTTCATTTCCTGTTTGCCCAGCGTGGAGCACTGATCAGCACAGGTGACCATGCAGAGCTCATCAGCACAGCCAGAATCAAAAAAGAGCTCCAGCATGGACCGTACGGGAGATACAGAATCTGATCTCTGTATGGGGAGATGAATCTGTTCTATCAGAACTCCGTTCCAAAAGACGAAATGCCAAAACATTTGAAAAAATCTCCAAGGCCATGATGGACAGAGGCCACAACAGGAACTCAACACAGTGCTGCGTGAAACTTAAGGAGCTGAGACAAGCGTACCAGAAAGCCAAAGAATCAAATGGATGCTCACGGAGGGAGGGGCGACTGACGACTGTAGCTATCCCACAGTTTCCGCACTCTCCGAAAACCATTTGAATTCTGGGTTGAGCTCCCAATGCCTGAAGGGTCAAAAACATTGTCATTTCTCGCCTTTTTTCACTGTCACCGTATGTCTACTGGATGCTGCTGGCAGACGTGGTGCTGCAGCGCTACACAGCAGCGTCCCCTTGCCTTGCCTTGCGGACGGCAGACGGTGCAGTATGATTGGTAACCGTCATCGCTGTCCCGTGGGTGCTCCTGGCTGGCCTCGGTGAGGTCAGTCGGGGGCACCTGGGCAGACATGGGTGTTCCTGCCTGGCCTTGGTGAGGTCGGTCGGAGGCGCCTGGACAAAAATGGGAATGACTCCAGGTCATTCTCTTCTTTAAGTTTTGTGTAATAGAGATTCAGTCCTGCCTGGAATATCATGTGATCTGGAGGCTTCTGCCTCAGGCTGCTCTCCCAGTCAGCAGCACCGCGCAGTCGCACCTACCCCAGCCTACCCCTTGCTCCCAGGGCTCACAATCAGATACTTAGACCTCTACATTTTGCTGCAAATAAAAAAATAAAGCTGCCGTTTAGAACTGTCCCCCAACATACATATCCTGGGACATTTTGTATTTTACCAGTGTCAACCAAAGGCCCACACACAAATGGAGATTCAGTCCTGCCTGTGCTCCTGTCCTAGTGCTTATCACAGATTCCCATTTTCAGCTATAGGCTGAGCAAGTGCAGAATGGTGGTTCACTCTACTTTGCTGTAAGCCAACCGCCCTCCCCTCTCCCCTTTTGATCTCTGCTTGCAGAGGCAATAAAGTCAGTGTTGTTTCAAATTCATGCATTCTTTATTACTTCATCACACAAATGGGGGGATAACTGCCAAGGTAGCCCGGGAGGGGTGGGGAAGGAGGGAAGCAACGGGTGGGGTTGTTGTAGGGGCACCCCCTAGAATGGCATGCAGCTCATCATTTCTGTGGGATGTCTGGGGCTCTGACCCGGAGCGCCTGTTTGCCTCTCTGGTTCTTTAGTAGGCTTGCCTGATATTCTAGGCAGGACTGACTCTCCATTAGACAAAACTTAAAGAAGAGAATGACCTGGGGAGTCATTCCCATTTTTGTCCAGGCGCCCCCGACCGACCTCACTGAGGCCAGCCAGGAGCACCCATGACAGCAGCAGACGGTACAGTATGACTGGTAACCGTCTTTGCCAACTTGCAAAGGCAAGGGGATGCTGCTGTGTAGCACTGCAGTTCCGTGTCTGTCAGCAGCATCCATATGGTGACCGTGAAAAAAGGCTGAACGGGCTCCATGGTTGCCGTGCTATGGCCTCTGCCCGGGCAATCCAGGGAAAAGGGCGCAAAATGATTGTCTGCCGTTGCTTTCACAGAGGGAGGATTGACTGACGACATTTACCCATAACCACCCGCGACAAATTTTTAGCCCCATCAGGCATTGGGAGCTCAACCCATAATTCCAATGGGTGGGGGAGACTGCGGGAACTATGGGATAGCTCTGGGATAGCTAACCACAGTGCAACACTCCGGAAGTCGACGGTAGCCTCGGTACATGGATGCACACCGCCGAATTAATGTGCTTAGTGTGGCTGCATGCACTCGACTTTATACAATCTGTTGCCAAAAATCGAATTCGGTAAAATCGGAGTAATCCCGTAGTATAGACATACCCTAAGATATGTACAAGATAAGGAAAAGAAGTCCATAGTGACCACCTATAGTTGATCCTGCTCCCATTCCAGTCAATAGAAAAATCCCATTAATTTGAATGGTGCCATCTCATTAGCTGTTATCAGTGGACAATTTACTGAAATCCTTTTTTCTGTTCCCATCCATATAGGGTTTGTGTAAGAAATTACTCAGTAGTGAATATTTGCAAAGGTATTCCTCTTTGCATGTATTCTCATTGTGTTTATAATCTAGTGTGCATTATCTATAGTAACTATATTTCTATGAACTTTGCACATTGAAACAGCCGTTTTATATGTTCTGCAGAAAGCCAACAATAACTGTTAGTTAATTAATTCAAAATTTCTTTATGAAGAGACAATTATCTTTCTGTTAACAAGCAGATGTTAAAACATGGCAAAAACTAACAAAGCCATAATATGTAATTCCTTGACAAACACATTTTCATTGTCAGCTTCCATTATCTTTAAATAATTGTAAATATTGACTTGCAATTTTTATTGGTTAGCTAGACTAGACTTTGGGGTTTTATCTTCTTTGGACGTGGGATGAAACAGCCCACCAGTAGCAGTGTGCCCTGCCTCTTTCTAGTTAACCAGAAATGCCTTTTTAATAGTGTACTCTATAGGTTCAGTGTGTCCCCTCTTAACCAGCTGGGAGGCCTGTGCATTAATTTCTGTGGTTAACAGGCCCTGTAACTGAGCAGAGATAGTTCTAGTATATGCAGTTCCATGTTTTTATTGGTCTTGTACCACTCCCCTCCCTGCCTTATAGCCAAAGGCAAAATGAGTCCAGCAACCTGTCAGTGCAATGGCTCTGCTTCAGGAGAAGTAGCAGCAGGAATGGGCAAGGCCCTCTCAAGGGAACTATTTTTTATCTGGATAATGCAGAACTTAAACCTTTTTGTCATTTCCTTCTCTTATGGATTTTCCCTTTTCACTGGGCTAGGAAAATTTTCTCTTGTTCATTTCAGTCCCACAGGGTGAATTTCTGCTCTGTTTAATTTTGTATTGCACATTGCTATCTGAAATTCCTATTTCTGGGCTGGCATACAAGGATGTTGAAGAATGGTAATTTCTTCCCCGTTATATTAGTTTCTCCCTAGTCTCTGTCTGCCATCTGAGAGATCCTATCCCCCATCCTGTTTTGAGTTGGAAGAATTTTGAAAACTTCTGAATTTTTTTCTCACTTTTTTTTTTTTAGCATTAATAGATATTTTTCTTTTGCTCAGGAACTGTCTTAGCATTTGAGTTAGCCTACCAAACCTCTTTATAAGGGAATGATATGATAAAAGCTTTGCTCTATTTCCTATCTCCACCTGTTACTATAGTAGGACAGCGTATATCCACTATTAGGGCTTATGCTGAAAGACCTGGAAATACCAAGCAGGTAGGAGTTTACCATGAAAGAAGTACATGAGGCAGTGAATTCCAAAACCCTGATTCTAAAGTTAGTTGTACACAGACATGATTATAAAATATAAACACATGTTCATTCAAAGCATTAAGGCTCTTCAAAATAAAATGTGTCTTATTAACTATATTAGATTAACAAAAGATGTTTAGCTACTTTGGACTATGTGTATCCTCAAATATAAGGAAAGACTTCCTATTCATGGAAGTGTGAAATTCATATGCTATCACTACTGCCATTGGGATAGGGCACTGACTGATTATTTCTATTGTGTTTATTTTACTTTAGCAAGCCATGACGAATTTTATTTTTATTCCCTTAGTTCACCATCGGAGATTTCTCTTCCCTCAGCAAAGCTTGAGGCACCACCTTTTCATCTTATTTAGTCAATGGGCTGGACCTTTCAGTATTATGTTTACACCACTGGATCGTTACAGTGACAGAAATCACCAGATTACAAGATACCAGTATTGTGCATTAAAGGTATAGCATATTTTCTTTCCACTATGCAAAGTGATCTATTCAGTAATACAAATTACAACAACAAATCCTAAGTTTAGATATTTAAAAGAGGCAAATATCATGGTTATTTGTTTCCTTTTATTTACAGTAATTGATTATTTTGAGAGAGAGAGAGAGATCTATAAAGTTAAAAATTCCTATTTTTCTTTCCAAAATTATAATCTAAAGTCATTTCTTGTAGCTTACTTCTTTTTTGCCCACATAGAGTGAAATTTTGTTTTATTATTTGGATTTTCAGTAAGGAAAAGCTCTCACTGACTTCAGTGGAAGCAGCATATCAGGCCCTAAGATCAAGTGCAGTATCAGTTCAGTATCTGATACATCCTATTTCCAGAGGACATATCCTGCACTTATATGGGGATGTACTCAGTAGTTTTAAAAATCTTGTCCAGCTCTAACAGCTGCAACCCAAGCACCTAAGTAAACTGGGGAAATAATGTTTTATGTACCAGTATATGCTGCATCAAATGATATAAAACAATTTTAATTTAGACAGAGAATATGATGCTAATGAAATGTTTAATAGGTTTTATAATCTCATTAAGAACAGATTGGCTGAAATGACAAAACACATTTTGAAGCATTTGTAAAGTGTTCTTATTGCAGTGTGCCTTTAATGTGCTTAATTTTTTAATTCAGCATTTGAATTAATTAATGCAGTTTTTAATTATAATTAACCTATTTTAACTAATGCAGTTACCTTCTAGATCAATGTAAATGTTGAAATCTAGCAAAAAAGCACTATTTCACTAAAAACAGGTAGCAATTGGAAATGTCTTGCAAGCACAGTCTGTTAAACATATTCACAAATGTTAAACACTTGCCTAATTAACAGATTTCTCTGTATTATTAGGCAATGTCAGCTGTACTCTGCTGTGGCCCTGTATTTGACAATGTGGGTCTTTCCCCTGATGGCTATCTTTATAAATGGCTTGATAACATTCTAGCTTGTCAAGATTTACGAGTAAGTACCTCATCAATAATGTATGGTTTTTAAATGATTTTAAACTCTGTACTTATTGAATACAGTCCACTCTATGACGGTAGGCTTTGTGACCTTTGTTTTGAACAGAAAACAATAGATCCGTGCAGTATTCAATTACAAATTCATAACGAACCATATCACAATAACGTTTAAATAGTAAAAGGAATTTTATTATTTCAGGACACACAGTTTATGTAGCATACTAAACTAAACAGGATTCTGTTATGAGGTTCACACTGGTTTGCAGCAATATTTTAGGTTTTTCATCCATTACTAATACAAAGGTCAAGGACAGTATGATCTCAAAAAGTATTTATATTTCTGTTTGGAATATTTCCATCCCACCTGCTTCCAGGTCTTGTGAAGTAAGAATGTAAAATCAATTCCTGCTCGGTAATATAGCTGCTGGTGAGGCAAATCTGAGTGAGTCAATGTGAGTGGGCAGATCTTCAGAAGGCAGCAAAAAAACTACTCATTTTAGGAAAAAGTAAGGCCACAGAATTGGAAGATGAGTCTTTACCTTATATCCTGGATCTGTAACAACCAAATATTTATTGACTTGTTAGTGTTTGAAAATAACTCCATGAGTACTAATTTGATAGATTATTTTTGCATTTAAAATGATTCTGCCCTAAAGACATTTCTGGTTAGATGATAAAGGGAAGAGAGACTTTCTGCCCTGATGTCTCTGCATCTCAGTGTTGACATATGTATCTCTGCAGAATGATGTTTGTTACTTACATAGTTCTGTAAGGTAGAATATTGCTTTACAAAATGTAATTTAGATAGGTCCACGCTGCACAGAGGGCTTCTCTATCCAGGAACACTCAGAAAAGTTAAGCCAAATCAACTAAAGGTGTGAAGCTCAAGCACATGAAATCCCATGTGGATGCTCTCATTGAGAAGTAAAGTGGCCTAAATTCGCAGTAGCTTAATCTTCCTCCATTGACCATGAAGGTACTTAGAGGTGACTTAATTACAGCATATAAGTCTTCTTTTTGATAAACTGCCAGATTGAGTTCTTTATGTCTCTCATGATAACGCATTTTCTCCAGCCCTCGAATAATTGTTGTGGCTCTCTTCTGCATCCTCTCCAATTTTTCTATATCCTCTTTACAATGTGGAGACCAGAATTGGATGCAGTATTCCAGTACTGGTCTAACCAATGCCATATACAGAGGTAAAAATCACTCACTGCTCCCCTGTTTGTACATCCAATGATCTCAATATCCCGTTTTGCCACAGTAGTGAACTGAGAGCTCATATTGAGGTGCTTGTCCACTATGACCCCTAGATTCTTTTCAGAGTCACTGCTTTCCAGGATACAGTCCCCCATTCCATTCTGTAGGTATAGGCATTCCTTGTTCCTAGATGTATTATTTTGCATTTGGCTGTATTAAAATATGTTTAGTTTGAATGGGCCCAGGTTACCAAGTGATTCAGATTGCTCTGTGTGACTGCACTGTACACATCATTCTTTACCATTCCACCAATCTTTGTATCTACAAATTTTATCAACAGTTATTTTATATTTATTTCCAGATCATTGATGAAAATGTGGAATAGCATCAGTTTTAATACCAATCTCTGTGGAACCCCACTAGAAACACCCCCATTCAATGTTAATTTTGCATTTACAGCTAATTTTTGAGCTCTGTCAGTTACCCAGCTCTTAATGCATTTAAGGTGTGCTTTATATGTACAGTATTAATTTTTAATCAGAATAGTATGCAGTACTAAGACAAACACCTTACAGAAGTCTACGAAGTTACCTTTATCAACCAAACATGTAATCTCATCAAAAAATAAATCAGATTTGTTTGACAAGACTTGTTTTCTGCAAAATACTGTTGACTGACTGGCATTAATTATATTCCTACCCTTTAATTCTTTGTTAATTTAATCCAGTATTAGCTTTTCCATTATTTTGCCTGTAATTGATGTCAGAGTAACCAATCTATTAGTTACCTGGGTCATTCCGCTTGCCTGTTTTGAATATTGGTATAACATTAGCAGTCTTCCAGTCTTCTGGAATTTCCCCAGTATTCCAAGATTTATTAAAAATAAACATCACCAGGCCAGAGATTTCCTCAGCTAATTCTTTTTTAACTATTGAGTACAAGTTATTGGGCCTGCTGATCTAAAAAGGTTTATCCCTTGTAGATGTTATCTAACATCCTCAGTTGCTAATGAACTCAAAAGTACTTCTTTATTATCATATGATATAAGTACTTCATTCTGCTTCTTTCCAAATACAGAACAGAAATATTTATTGAATGCTGATTGTCACAAACACATCTGCTTTTTGTGCATCATTATTAATAATTTTTCCATCTCAATTAAATAATCGAATGATTGCAAAGATTTCTGTTGCTCCTAACATCTAAAAATCTCCTTATTGTCCTTAGCCCAGCCAAACATGGATTTTTCTCTGATGTTTTCATCTTCCTTATCAATTGTTTGTACTTCACAATGTCTAATTTATATTGATTGATGTCTATTTCCCCCTTTTTCCAATTGATACATATTGGTTTTTTATTTCTAATTGCTGCTTTCACTTTACTGCTGAACTAAGATTGGCTTTTAGCCAAGATTGATCTGTTTCTTGATTGTGTAACCATGGCTTTTTGCCATCTAATAAATTCTTCTTAAAGAATTCCAAGTTTTCATTCACATTTTTATGTCTAAATTTTTCTTATCAGTCAATTTCATTGATAATTTCCCTCAACTTTGAGATATTAGCCCTTTTGAAGCTCCAAGTACATATATTATGGGTGGGACTATCCTCTGTTTGCCCCTGTTGAATGTAATCACGTCATAACCACTCATCCCTAGATAACCACTAACCTCCAGTCCAATGGTTAATTTCATGCATCATCTATGAGATCCAAAATAGTGTTACTTTATCTTGGGTGCAATACCTTTTGTGTTAGAAAATTGTCATCTATAATTTTTAGAAATTCTAATTATGTTTTACAATTGACTGCATGAGACCCCCAGCATTTGTCTCCCAAATTGAAGTCCCCCATAACAACATAGTTTTTCTGTCCACACATTATAGGTGAGGAAAGCCATTGAGGGGATTTGTGGACGGGATGCTAAATGGTCAGAGCTGCAGGGGAGGGAAAAGAGTACTTTCCCTCCTATGATTAGTTTTTTACCATCAGTACTTTAAATTACCAGTTGAAAATCAGTACATAAAGGATGCATTAAGTCACAAAAGGCAAATTGTCAACATTTAATGGGTAAGGAAACCCAACCAGAATAAAAACTTAGGTAGTCTCTTTTTTTTTTTTTTATTGTGTTCCCTTTATGCTAAACTCAACCTCGGGTGTTTAAACTGAATATTAGTGTGAGTCTTTACAGTGAGTCTAGCCTCATTTGGTGACAAAATCGCAATAATAATAATAATAATTTTTGTGCTTCTACATTATCTGCAATTGAAGAAACACAAAGATGTAGTCCAAACTTAATCCTTTAAGTAAACAAACATGAATAAATTAACCTCACAGCACTCCTGTGAGGTAGAAAATTAGCAGTATCTCTGTTTTACAGGGTGTATAGCAAAGGCACATGGATGTTACCCAGTGTCAGCCAGCAAGTGTGTGTTAAAGCTGGGAATACAACCCAGATCTCCTGACACACTGTTCTTGGGCTTAATCATAATATTATGCTTCAACCCTTATTTTGAAGGTCTATTTTAAAAAATATATTTAACATATATGGGTTTTGTGCAAGACATATTTTTATGAAGTGTGGACTATTCAAAACTGAGTGAAATCCCATGCTGTGATATATATAAAATGCATTTATGGTAAACTCTCCACTTTATTTTTCTCCTTAGTGCGCAATAAACATGGTCCTTCCCTCCCGCCCCCTCCATTTAAAAGGCAGATTAGTCTTGTCACTTTGTGTCTATCTCCCTGAATAATTTTAAGAAACCTTGGGAGGATCTTTTTTGTTTTTTACAAAAAATAATAATTGCCATTCTGTGTGTATTCAGGTTCATCAGCTTGGATGTGAAGTTGTAGTCTTGTTGCTGGAACTAAATCCGGACCAAGTAAATCTTTTCAACTGGGCTATAGATCGGTGTTATACTGGATCATACCAGCTTGCTTCTGGATGCTTCAAAGCCATTGCGACTGTGTGCGGAAGCAGGTATTAATAAACCTAGAACTAGACTGTCCCTGAGGCAGTTAATGTGAAACAAGATCAGGGCTGCTATTTCTAAGATGTTTACACACTAGATATTTTGTATAATCCTACTTGTTTCTGTTGGAAACAGATTCTAAATGTTCTTTTCCATTAAATTTAAAAATAATGGTTGAAGCTGTAAGTGTGTCTGCTGTTGGTTGCTGGGTTGCATGCTATGAAAGACACAGAAAAAAACTCATGTGTGTGAATGGGAACAGTGAAGTATCTGCATAGCCAAGTGTTATGCTGCCTGAATAACAGTCACCTCTGGGACTTTGCAGCAAACGGGAGAAAAGGGACCAGATCTGGGGCCAGGTGCAAAAAGTTTGGAAGAGCATCTCTTACCACATGAAATGCTTCTGCAAACATGCTTATTTATACTGACAAAGTCAGCACAGTATTGGGGGAAGGTTAAAAAAATAATCTCTGCCTTGCCAGTGGTCACTGTCTGTGTATGCGATCAAGTCTGCAAGGGAGTTACCAGGGTGTTGAGCAAGTTCTATATGGAATTGCTGCTAGCATTCCCATGTAATGTCTTTTTACACAATGTTTTGAGGCTACACTTCCCTGACACACTCTTACAGGCCTGAGGCACATTTTTTGAGCATGTGATAAGTTGCCCCTTGTAGTGTCCTGTTGCTGTGTAGGCATTTGAACTTCTGACCCTTCCATACACAGAAAGGTGAAATAGGGCCTAAATCTTTCTATTTGTAACACCATTTTTAAACCTAGTGCCAAAACAATTTTGATGGATTTTTCCAATACTTTCAGAGTAAATAATATGAAAATAAAAGTTTTCTATGTTCTCATTTGCCAAACAATTACTTTTGTCCTTTTCCTAACTGCCCTTGGATTTGACCTGAGTTTGCTTACCTTTTGTTTTCGGATTAGCATTATCAATGATGTTAATAGAGTGGGAGCACAAAACATTGATTTTTTGTATAGGTCCTGCATAAACATTTTTTTGTTTTGTTTTTTTTCTTAGCATCTTTTCAGGATTAAAGTGGAAAAGAGGTTTAACAGTTGTTTTGAAATAAAGGTTTCAGAGTAGCAGCCGTGTTAGTCTGTATCTGCAAAAAGAACAGGAGTACTTGTGGCACCTTAGAGACTAACAAATGGGCTGTAGCCCACGAAAGCTTATGCTCTAATAAAATTTGTTAGTCTCTAAGGTGCCACAAGTACTCCTGTTCTTTTTGAAATAAAGGATAGTTTTCATCTGATTAGGCATTTGAAGTGCTGATCTATTTTAGTCTGAGATTTCTTGACAAAATAGTTTGTCAAGATGTCTGATCAGTATGTTTTGAGAGGGTAATTTGTGGGACCGTGCAAAGCAAAACATGTTAAGTATTTTAGAATTTGGTATATCTGTAAAAAAAACTCTATTTTGTTCTTATAGAAACAGCTGCAAATACAAGCTGCATTACCCTGAGATTTAAAAAGTATGATTGGAATGTTATGCTTGTAGATTTAGTAGCTTCTGACATTCAGTTTTGCTATCTTAAAAGAAAACACAATAATACTAGCCCTTCACCTACAGTCTTTTCTCCTCAGATTTTTATTAGATAGGACTAAGGACCCTGGGAAAGGGTTTCATTTATGTGCCATTGGCAATAGTTAAAAATGCATGATCACTTTCAAGAAGAAACTCATATTTCTGCCTATTTGGGGAGCTATGTTGAGAGTTTAGCTAATACTAAAAACTTGTTGGCATATTCCCATATTCCATCCTTTCCTCAGTTAGCAATAAGTGTAGGGGGACGTCTGCTTAATCCAGCTGTAAATAAGCAATGTAGTATTGCATAACTTATGCCTCTCTTTCCACAAAGAATCCTCTCCATTAAAAAACTCAGTTTGTCCCAGCCCATGGTCTCCCATGCTACATTTCTATTGTGATACCGTAAATAATATGTTCTGGAGTTTCACTAATCATGTCCCTACAGACTGGAATACAGGAGTAATTGAAAACATTTATTTACAGTTTCTTCCATTTCTTTTCAACTAGTAATTACAGGGATTTTACTTGGGTTCAAACTCCTGGAAGGCATATCCTTTGGCAACAACTTGGCCAATGGCATTTTGATGATGAAGTGGGAAGGGCAATTGATATCTTAGTCAGTTAAGACTTTTTCCTTGAGGCAAAACTATAAAGCCTCCATCATACTACATAAGAGAGGCTACAGGTTAGGTATCTGAATCTTTATTTATGTACATTAAAAAAATCAGAACACTTATTTAAGAAGTAGGAAATTGCTAGATGCTCATCATTTTGAAAATTATACCACTTATTTAGGTGTCTAAATACGGATTTAGTTGACTAATGGTAGGACCACAGATTTGCAAATATTGACCAGACCAGTTCATATGATTGTCAAATTCATTTGAGGAGGCCTATGCCAAATAGCCAATGTTCTTTATTTTTAACTACATTTATTTATTGGCCATTTTACTGCTATTTTTCATGTAGCTTAGTTCTTTCTATTTTGTATCAATGTACTCTACCATATAATTATTCTGTTAATGTAATCTTGTTTTATCCTAATCTTTAGATTTTTGTGTTGCATTCTCTTAGGCATGCTTTTGTAACCCTTGATAGTTTCCTCTTTCAAGATGCTCCCTCAGATGGGGATTATTTGAACTTTGTGAACTGTGGGAGGGACCAGGTTGGGGAAGGACCAGAGAGACTGACATGGAGCAGCAGAGCTGGGGTACACTAGTATGTGGATTTAGTAAAGATGTCCCCGAAATCACTCCATGTCCATCCAACAACCCAGCAGCCTTTGTCTACACTAGGTAATTTAGGACTTGCATTTCACTGCCACAGAATCTCAACTGATTATAACAATGGTGAAGACTCTAATGTAGACAGGATTCAGGTATTTTTTACCACCATGTTGTCTATCCTAGTCTCGGTAGTAAAAACCTCCTGGGTCCTGTCTACATTATAGCTTCTGCCATTGCTTCCACTGGTGGAGCTGCAGTGGTGGTGAATTATGGATCCTAAATCTGCATGTGAAGACTCAGCCTAATAGACAAGATAATGAAGAAGGTTGTAGGTCAGTTACTGAACATGGTTAAGATCATGCCTATATTACAATTTAGCACAATCTCATAAGTAAGTCCAGAGTTAACCCTCTGTAATCAGATCCTCTGACTCATTTGTAATTGTAGTGTAAACAGGCCCTTAGTTCTGTATTCGTTATGGTCAAAGTGATAGAGATACAAATTCCACAATTTTATGTTAGCTAAAACTAAGGTAGTGTATTTGCATATCTACATGGAAAAAGGGAGAAATCTCTAATCTAGATTTGTGCAAGACCAAATAACATTACATGGAAAATTGCCTTTCTAGCAATAGTCCCTTCAGGACCCTGCTCTTATTTATCCACTCTACACTAAATTTTGAATACCTAGGATGGTGGAATTTCTTCAGCAAGAGCTTGTCATTTGTTGTGCCAACACAGTCCCATTCTTCATGTTTATGCTTCATTAATTTTTCAATCTGATAGAGAGTTCTCTTTAACTTTAATGTCTGGGAATGCGCATGTTGAGGAATATATCCTTTTCCAGAATAGGCTATTTTAACTGTCAGTGGAATTGCTTGAAGAATATTTTATCCCTGGAAACTCTCTGTTCAACCATCTTTGCTTTTGGGAGTTAGTTTATAAAAAATTAGATACTATATTTAAAAAGAATTTAGGTTTATGGAATAGGCAATTGCAGTGCATTCCTAATTATTGTCTCAAGGTAATTGTCCATCCCTCCCTCACCAGATGGCCACTTGACTCAGGAGTCAATCCATCAGTAAATAACTCCCTTTCCTAAATTCTGGTGGAGGAGTGGAAAAAACAGAGGTGATATTTTTCTTTAGCTCATTATTAGGCAAAGGAGATTAGAGTGAATTTAAGCTGAGATTCTAATGTTGACAAAAATGTACTATTTATTCTTCCAGGAACTATCCTTTTGATATAGTGACACTTTTAAACCTAGTGCTATTCAAGGCATCCGACACCAACAGAGAGATTTATGAAATTTCCATGCAACTTATGCAGGCATGTATCAGCTACTTAAAAAAAATATCCTTTAAAATAGTAACCAAATGCAAGTGGCCCTATCATTGTTTTCACCATGAACTTCTTACCATATATTACAGTTTGGTTGGGGTGTTTTACTTTTTGTTTTGAAACCTCAACTAGGCGCTACAGTAATAAATATAGTAAATAATAATAATCATAAATGCTGCAGTGATTACTTGTATAAAAAATTATGCAAATGATTATTTATAATATTTCTGCAACTTGGAAATTTTACTGTGAAACATGTAGACCTTTATGTGATTTCTTAATCTGTTTAAAGTTGAAATGTGAAAGTTTTTTGTGCACTAATGAAATCCTGTCACTTCATTGCCCACTTTCTTCTCTTCCATAGATTCTTGAGGCAAAGCTTTTTGTTTATTCAAAGAAAGTTGCTGAGCAAAGACCTGGCAGTATCCTGTATGGTACACATGGCCCATTACCACCTCTTTACAGTGTATCATTGGCACTTCTTTCATATGAGCTAGCAAGGATGTATCCTGAGCTCACCCTTCCACTTTTTTCAGGTACCTGTCTATTGATATTTTTTTTTAATGTTTTCAATATTTGTTTTTTATGTAGTGTACAAATGGTGGCCTGTTAGTGTATTTCAAGTTGTGAATAACAATTAGATTGATATTTCTGTTCTATTGATATTTCTGATATTCCAATTCTATTGTAGTAAAATTAAGCAAAATGCTTTGTAATTAGATACACAATTGCCTGCAGATATACGCAAAGTACAGTGGTTAATATTTAAAAACTCAGGGTATGCAGTCTTTGGGGGTGGACTGGGAAGGGGCTATGGTCAGGGGTGCTGGTACTAGGAGTGCTGGGGATACGGCAGCATCCCCTGGTTTGAAGTGGCTTCCATCATATACAAGGTTTGCAGTTTTGTTCAATGGCTTTCAGCATCCCCACTATAAAAACTGTTCCAACATCATTGACTGTGGTGATTTTACAATCCTGGGCTGTTCCCTCACTGGTTAATTCCCTCACTTAAAAATCTGCACCTTATTTCTAGTCTACACCAGTCCAGCTTTAACTTCCAAACACACACGCGCGCGCACCCTGGTGGAGAGGCTGATTTAAGCAATAGATTACATACCATAATTAGTAGTTCTGCAATTTCATATGTGAGTTCCTTAAGAATTCTTGGTTAAATACCATCTGATCCTGCTGACACCTCAGTCTCGGACAGTTCCTCAGATTTGTCACCTAGAAAGAATGGTTCAGGTGTGGGAATCTCCCTCACATCCTCTGCAGCGAAGACTGATGCAAAGAATTCATTGAGCTTCTCTGCATTGGCCTGGTCTTCCTTGAGTTATCTTTTAGCACCTCAATCGTCCAGTGGCCCCACTCATTGTTTGGCAGGCTTCCTGCTTCTCATATACTTAAAAAAATGTTGCTCTTATTTTTTGTGTCTTTTGCTAGTTTCTCTTCTGATTCTCTTTTGGCTTGCCTAATTGACTTGACTTGCCAGAGTTTATGTTCCTTTTTGATTTTCCTCAGTAGGATTTGACTTTCAATTTCTAAAGGATGTCTTTTTGTCTCTAGCTGCCTCTTTTACTCTGTTGTTTAACCAAGGTGGCATTTTTTTGGTCCTCTTACTCATTTGGGTTTTTTTATTTGGGGTATATATACAGTTTGAGCCTTGTTATGATGTTCTTTAAAAGTTTCCATGCAGCTTGCAGGCATTTCACTCTTGTGACTGTTCCTTTTAATTTTCATTTAACCAGCCTCTTCATTTTTGTGTAGTTCCCCTTTCTGAAGTTAAATGCTACTGTGATGGGTTCCTTTGGTATTTCCCTCCCCAAAAGGATGTTAAATTTAATTACATTATGGTCGCTATGAGCAAGCAGTTCAGCTATTTTCACTTCTTGGACCAAATCCTGTACGCCACTTAGGACTAAATCAAGAATTGCCTCCCCTTGTGAGTTCCAGGGCTAGCTGCTTCAAGAAGCAGTCATTAATGGAGTCATTCTTGTGATGCTTAGAGTCCCCAGTTGAGATCGGGGCCCCTTTGTTCAGACCTACACCCTGTACAGACACATTGCAAGAGGCAATCCCTCCTCATAAGAGTTTACAAGACAAGATGGACTGTGGTGGGAGAAACAAGTATTATTTTCTCATTTTTTAGGTAGAGAATTGTGGCACAGAGAAAGTAAGTGGCTTACCTGAGGTCACACAGGAAATCTATGGCATGACTCCTGAATCCCCCCAGTCCAGTGCCTTAACCACAGGGTCATATTTCCTTATTAATAAATTATGACTTTTTAATGGCATACATTTTGTGTTTATGTGTATTGTTTATTTTGTCTATAATATGCATTCACACATACTTTATAGAACACTAATACTATTTCATAAAAAGTATGTCCACAATACTCAGAGTCATTTGTGAATTAAATAGGTCTTCACAGATAAGGAATTAAAACTTTATATTTAGGGCCCTACCAAATTCACGGCCATGAAAAACGTATCATAGACCGTGAAATCCGGTCCGTTGTGTGCTTTTACCCTATACTATACAGACTTCACGGGGGAGACCAGCATTTCTCAAATTGGGGGGGTCCTGACCCAAAATGAAGTTGCAGGGGGGTCACAAGGCTATTTTATGGGGGTTGCAGTATTGCCACCCTTACTTTTGCACTGCCTTCAGAGCTGGGCAGCCAGAGAACAACGGCTGTTGGCCGGGCACCCAGCTCTGAAGGCAGCGCCTCACCAGCAGCACCACAGAAGTAAGGCTGGCAATACCATACCATGCCATCCTTCTGCGCTGCTGCTGGCAGCAGCTCTGCCTTCAGAGCTAGGCTTACGGCCAGCAGCCGCCGCTCTCCATCTGCCCAGCTCTGAAGGCAGCACCACTGCCAGCAGCAGTTCAGAAGTATGGATAGCAGTACCGCAACCCCCCCCCCCCCTTACCCCGCCAACCCCCCCCCCCCCCCCACTCCTTTTTGTGTCAGGACCCCTACAATTACAACGCTGAAATTTCAGATTTAAATAGCTGAAATCATGACATTTATTATTTTAAAAATCCTATGACCATGCAATTGACCAAAATGGACTGTGAATTTGGTAGGGCCCTATTTATATTGTATTCTGAAGACATGTATTTTTTTCTATTATGTATTTTGTTTAGGCCTTGTCTTTGTTGTTGTTGTCTTCTTCTAGTTTTCTTTTTGAAATACACTAGTTACTATAGAAATAATATCATTGATATGAATAATGCTTAGTGATAACCACATGTGTTTTTATACAGTCAATGTATGTAAATGCCTTGAGATTTAGGCCACAGTTAGGAAATGTGGATGCTTATGCAACAGTTATAACCAGATATCAGAATACTATAAATATTTACAGAACACTACTGAAAATTTTCCATAATTCTCCAAAAGCTTTTAAAATTCTAGAATAATTTAGTCAAATCTGCCCTATTTTTTTGTATTCGCAAACATTTAGCTGAGTGTGTCGGTACACAGCAATCTATAATAGGGCATGTCTTGAACACGCTTCTTAATTTATATTTCTAAATTCAAAATTCTTACCTCAGTTATTTTGCACTTAAGACCTCTGACACATTGCTTACTAGTAGCTTACATCAAATTAATGTATGTTCCTCCTGCCAATACTTAAATATTTGCTTTTGTGCTTTGATAATATTCCCTTAGCTTGCAAGATTAAGGTCATCGGGTGGCAAAACAGAAACAATCAGACTTGCTAAGTGTGTAATTTTTTCAGTATACTTCTACTTATCTTTATAGACTAATGATGCTTTTTAATGCTTACTATTTTAGAGGTAAGTCAACGATTCCCAACAACCCATCCAAATGGGAGACAGATCATGCTTACCTATCTGCTACCATGGCTTCATAACATCGAACTTGTAGACAGCAGACTTCTTCTCCCAGGTTCAAGCCCTAGCACCCCAGAGGATGAAATAAAGGACAAGGAAGGGGAAATAGCTGTCACATATGGACTGAAAGGAAATGGATGGGGCTCTCCGGAGGCCACATCGTTGGTGCTTAATAATCTCATGTATATGACAGCTAAGGTAAAGCAAAACTGTTTTCTGAAATATTCAGGCTATGATACTTTAAAAAATTCAAAAATAATTGAGTTGCATAGTGCAAACTCAAAAACAAAAGTGTGTCTAGAATTCTTCCCGTTGATATTTGACATTTTGCATGAGCACAAATGCTCATGTTTCTCTGTCTAAATGTGAATTTCATTCTGAGTAAAAAATTGTACAAGTTTCTAAGTGACTTAGGAGCCCAAGTCCCATTGAAATGCCATTTCACTTCTGACTGGTTTGTAGGCTCCTGAATCTCTTAGTTGCTTTTGAAAATTGTACTCTACATCTTGTTACTGTGTTTTGCTATTGATTTTGCATGAGCTGATGTTGTAAAATAACGTACCTTTAGTTTCTCTTCTAAATGTCTAAATTAATTATATGTTTAGTGCACCTTTTCAAAAATTCCATCTCTGTGCCTCTTTACAGTATGGAGATGAAGTTCCTGGGCTAGAGATGGAAAATGTCTGGAATGCCTTGGCCAACAATGAGAAATGGAGCAACAACCTTAGAATAACACTGCAATTTCTAATTAGCTTGTGTGGGGTTAGCAGTGATACCATCCTTTTACCTTATGTAAGTGTTTGTGTTTTGTTTTATTTGCTGTTGGTTGCATTGTATTTTTAAGGAAGAAAACAGCATTTGTAGAAAATGAATTTCTTCTGAAATTAGGTCAGTTGGGAAAAGTAAACGAGCCCAGTTGTTGAAGGCAAACAGATAAAATGTGCCATCAGAGCCTCTCTTTGCACCAGTGGAGCTTACTTGGTTTCAAGCAGGGGGTAAGCGCCACCAGAAAAAACAGCAGTTTTGTCTAAGTTCAGCTTTGTCAGCGCCAGGGAATAGTGCAACAGTAACAGTGGCTAGCCACTAATTGCTGAAATCATTGTGAACAAACATCAGAACCATTTTTCAGTATCGAAGTTACACAACACATATTCATTTTATACATACAAAATGTTATGAACATGATAGAAAGGAACTCTTCCAAGTTTAAATAACTTGCATGAAAAATTAACTAAGTTAAAAATATTAAATGCCTTGAACTTTCCCCAGCAGGCAGCTAGTTTAGACAACCTGTATGCTAAATTTTGTAAGGGTTTAAAACAATGAAAAGTTATACAAGGAACAGGATAATATATTCATGCTATCTCCAGTATTAGTGTTTGTGCGTTTTAAGGATTTAGCTCCAATTCAGGAAAGCACCAAGCATGTGTTTATCTTTAAACATATGCTGAAGTCCATCCTTCTTTAACAAGGCTAGGATTTTGAAAGGTGTATGTCAATGGGAGTTGGGTGCCTAACTCCTTTTAAGCATTTTCAAAAATCCCATTGCATAGCACTTAAGAAAGTGTTAAAGATTCCTTTTAGTCAATTGAACTTAAGCATGTGCTTAAGGGCTTTGCTGAGTCAGAACCTTATATCAGTCATCTATGGTGCAATTCAGGATGTCAATTTAAACACTAGTGGAAATTGTAAAGTTTAGCATGTCAGCTTATTCCTTTTTGTTCCCCACATAGCTGTCATTGGTTACGTAACTGTTCCTTCTTGTATGTGAGTCAAGTTGTACAATATATTGCTGCTGTTGTTGCCGTTAGAATAAAACAGGTTTTTTTCTGAGTGAAGTAATATAGCTCCACTTCTGTCTGGCTCTTCAGTGGTCGGGAGAAACTGAATCAAAATTTAGTGCTTTTTACTTTTTTCAGCAGAATTACAGTTTCTTATTTGACTGTCCCTAGTAGTTCCCATACTCAGAAAATCAGAATCTATCATTACAAGGATTACGTTAGTTAAATAGCATCACAGGTGTGCATGGTTCTTTATAAACAGTTTAAAATGAGAGGTGTGCCCTGAGGAGTTTACCACCCATAACAGAGTAAGGAAAACAAAGGATGGGGGAGAGTTTGTGGGAAGACAATAGAGGATCACAAGATGTCCTCATTATTACATACACATCTTTTTGGTTCCCTTTTATTTTTTAATTTGATATATTAAAATTGTGGACTCTTTGTGCAATGAAAGCTGGATGGTTGTTAGTGCAAGAAAGCTAATCCAAAGAAGAAAAAATTGAAGGAGGATAATGTGGTGCTCCTGGTCAGGAAAAATATTTCAGGTTTAAAAGGTTGGTATGGGAAAAGGTGCAAAGCTTATGAGAGAAGGAGACAAAGGGCCCGGTCCAAAACACATTGAAGTCAGTGAGTTTTTTTTTATTGACTTTAATAGGCTTTGAATCAGGCCCAAAAGGAGCATCAAGGTCAGTTGAGTTGACAGGAGTTGTGGAATCTCCTTCACTGGAGGTTTTCAAGAGGAGGCTGGATAGACATCTCTTTGATGATTTAGACATGACAAATCCTGCATCTTGGCAGGAGCTTAGACTAGATGACCCCTGCGACCCCTTCTAACTCTATGGTTCTATGACAGAAAATGCTGGGAATTGAGGGTAGACTAGAGGCAGGACTGTTACAGTAATCTGGTTGATTTTATTAAGGCAGTGCTAGCCATTTCAAAAAACATTCTTTGCTACCTGAGCTATTGAAATGCTTTTTGTGCTTCTCCAGTGTGTGTCTACATAATGCTGCTAAAGATGGTCAAAAGCACAGGTGTGTTTTAGGTTTTGTCAGCCCAAGAAAAGATATGCTTTAGTTTGAATTTGTATCCAAAGTGCATAGGATACCTGTTGCTTTACATACAGCTTCAAGAGAAAGTAATTAAAGCCCCCATCTAGTAACCTCTGTCATGCTTTGTTTTCTGGAACTGACTTTTTCCTTTAGCTCAAATAGCTTATTTACAGAGGTCAGTGATGGCAAGTTATTACCATTAAGTAATTCACTGTTTTTGTTTATGCTTTATTTGTATCTCATAGCCAAGAAATCCAGAGGAGGCATATATCCCCACACACTCTCTCAGAGATTATACGCTCATAGAGAAATATACATATACTACTCCTGGGGGAATTCTGCCCCAAAAAATTAAAAATGGCGTGCCAAAAAATTTTTTAAAAGTGCACACAATATTTTATAATTTTGCAAAATTCTGCATATTTTATTTGTCAAAATAACACAATATAATCACTCCAGTTTCAGTTATTTTGGTAATTTATTTCAAAATACCTGTCAGCAAGCATGTCTGTAGCAATACAGACAACAAAAAAGATTCCCCCATGAGTAGAGAGTTAAAAAACCCTCTATGACAACCCAGTTCCTGTTTCTCTGTTATGCTTTTGTTGGGTGCCTCAGTCTGGGTGTGTCACACATGCCAGCTAGGCACATCGGGGAAAACTCTGTCCCTCTGGTCTTTTGGTTGATTCTCATTTTTTTGCCCTGCCCCCATAGGGTTACCATATAGAGTTTCCCAAACAAATGACACTGCCAAGAGGAGGGGAAGGCATAGAGGGAACTGGAGGGGGGAATACAGTTGAAGGGTGGTGGAGCAGTGTGTGTGTACTGAGAGGGGCTGGAGGGGACTGTGCGGGGCTCCCCAGCCCAGACACCCACATCCCCTGCCCTCCAGAGTCCAGCCGCTGGGCCAAACACCCTCCCTCCAGAGCCCAGGAATCCAGAGGAAGAAACAGCCTGATGCTGGTCAGTCGGGGCTTGTATGGAGTTTCCTTCACACAGCCTCCTTCCTTCAGGATGTGCTGGGAACCGCAGCTGTCAGGAACCCTCCAGCACCCTCTCCCCGTCCCCTTCCAATCAGCAGTGTCCTCTATTTGTGAGCTGGGGAGCCTAACTCTGCTGGTTCCAGCAGCCCCTGTGGTGGCCAGCAGCTCTGCAGCACCAAATCTGCAGGGGAAAAATGTGCATAACATTAATCCTGCGCAAATTCTGCATCACGCAGTGGTGCAGAATTCCCCCAGGAGTAATAGACACAGATGTATACATTCAGAGTTTGTATTAAAACAGCAATGCCTGTATGCAATGAAATGTAGGTATTGTTTGTTCATATATAACAATGGGAGAAACATGTAAGGCCTGTTTAAGAAAAATCTGATTAAAAAAAATGCAGTCATAAAATTAAAAATGATTATAAAAATAGGCAGTTTCGAGAATATACTCTTATGTGGAGATGCAAAACAACCCCCCCACAAAACTTCAGCAGTAGCCATGAACATTTAGAAAAGGGAAGTAATGTAATATATTCAAACACTATTTATTGCTTCTTCACAAAAAAATGGAATATAGTTCTTCCACCAATGCTGCTTTTTGCAACATAAAGTTAAAAGAACAAAGGCATCTTTGTGTCTGTTCCTCAACTTTGCCATGATAGGAGCCTTATGATTAAGGCTGCGACTCTATCGCAGAAGTCACAGACGCCGTGATTTTCCGGGACCTCCAGGACTTCTGCAGCAGCTGGTGTGGCTGGCCCGGGGGCCGCCTGAGCAGCTCGGGCAGCCCCTGGGCCAGCTGTACTGGCTGCTACTGGGGCAGTCTCAGGCCACCATGCCCCCTCCTCCTAGCAGCAGCAGGAGTTTGGGTGTGTGAGGGGGCTCAGGGCTGGGGCAGGTGGTTGGGGCATGGGAGAGGGAGAGGGCTCGAGTGGCGCTTACCTCGGGGAGCTCCCCAGAATCAGCAACATGTCCCTCAGCTCCTAGGTGGAGGCTTGGCCAGGCAGCTCTGTGCGCTGCCTCCACCCGCAGGCACTGCCCCCACAGCTTCTTTTGGTCGCAGTTCCCAGCCAATGGGAGCTGTGGAGTCAGCGCTCAGGACGAGGATAGCGCGCCTAGGAGCCGAAGGACATGTCACCGCTTCTGGGGAGTCGTGCGGAGCCAAGTAGGGAGCCTGCCAGCCCCGCCAAACCCCCTCCCTTCCCAGCAATAGTGGGGATCCCAGGCCACATGCTGCTGCCCGCCTCCCCAAGCACCAGCGCGGGTCCTTGGACGCCCCCCCCCAAGCACCTGCAGTGCCCCTAGCCCCCCAGACTAGCACATGTGGAGCAGGTCGTAGAAATAGGGATATCAGCATTCCTCCTGTTCTTCTACATGTGGTCCGAGAGCTGAACATTTTTAATGTTTAAAAAAAAAAAAGTTAAATGCTCCTAAAGCAGCATTCTAGATTTGGGTGAGTGAGTTTGCTGCTAAAGAGAGAGACAGTAAGGATGGTGGCAGCCAAGGAGGAGAAGTAAACCCCTGGAGGACAATTGCTTGTTAAAACCTGTAGCTACTCAGATTTGTTGTATCCAAATTAGACATGAAATGACAATAGTATCCCACTCACCCCATCCTAGTTAGAAAGAAGGAGAACACAATATATTTACTTCAGCGAGCATAGATGAGTCGTGCCTCCCCATACTGGTGGGGGGGGGGCACAATCTAAAGGAAAGGACACATGACCACCCCATGTGTCTCCTCTGCCCAGTGACTCTCCCCGCCCTGTGCCCTGCCCTGTGCCCAGTGCTCTCCCTTCCCCACCAGAGTTACCTGCAGGGGGTTGGGTGCTCTGTCCTTCTCCTGCTGCACATCCCCCTCCCCCCCATCCTGGCACATTGAGCTCTGCTCTCCCTGGCAGCCTGGTGAGGAGCGGTACGGAGCTGCTTCTCACAGAGCTGAAACTGGCCACTCCAGGCAGCTGCCTGAGAGAGCCTGGTTGTGGAGATGGCGGCAGTGGGCTGCCCCACACCCAGGCCCAGCCGCCAGGGACAGGAGCCAAGTGAGCTGGAAATGTGCCGGGGGGAAGGGGAGGTCACTCAGCCCCTGTCCCCAGCCGCCAGGCTCAAGCTGGGGGCGACCTCCTGCCGCCGCCCCCACTTCCCCAGCCAGGCTGTCTCTCAAGCAGCCACCACACTGCACACAGCAGCGACCCAGAGTGGCAGGCGTGAGAAATCTCTGGTCCACGCCCCCTTCCGCTCCCTGCCTAGGCCCTGCTGCCAGGGACAGAGGCCGAATGTGCCAGGGGACAGGCGCAGTGGGAGAAGGACAGAGCCCCTCTCCCTCCCCTCCACCCTCCCGCCCTGGTAGGCCAAGCAGAAATCTGTGGGCGGGGGCACTTGACCCCACATGCCCTTCCTATGCATTGTCTATGGCAGAGAGCAAAATAATTAGCAACTAAAGATAATACCAACAAATTATCTACAGCATTCTGGCTTGCAGAATCCAAAAGGCCATATTGCTGCAAGATTAACTATTCGTCTTCACCTTTCTCTGTTTTGGAATCAGTGTGCCTCTGGTCCTCACGAGCTGCTTCCTGCTTTCAGCCATATGTTCTGCCTCAATGGGCACAAGGCAATGCATGGGGGGGGGATAGTTCGGTGGTTTGCGCATTGGCATGCTAAACCCAGGGTTGTGAGTTCAGTCCTTGAGGGGGCCACTTAGGGATCTGGGGCAAAATCAGTACTTGGTCCTGCTAGTGAAGGCAGGGGGCTGGACTCAATGACCTTTCAAGGTCCCTTTCAGTTCTAGGAGACAGGATATCTCCATTAATTTATTTATTTATAATTTATGCCTCTAACACTTTATTGGCTGGCTTTTTTAAAGAGGCAAAGATTGCTTAAAGGTGTCTGGCTGGTCTTTTTTTATTTCTTTTTCTTTTAAGTGTTGTTTTCTTAGTGCATCCACATGAACTGCTCTGCTCCCCTGGCTTTAGAGGGTGCTGTGCAAGGTTTATAGGTAAGGTGTTGCCCATCTCTAATCATAGTACAAATGATTAGTGAAGAGTATATGCTTTTTAGAAACTCCTACAATATCTCACAGTGAAGTACAACAAGCACATTTTTTCAGTTACTTTAGCATAGGCTTTAAATGTGTACATTTTCTCTAAGGTTAAAAAAGAGACAAAAATAAATAGAAAATAACAAATATGAGAATTTTGCCATTCACTTCAATAGGAGTAGTCTCAGTATGGTACACATTATTGACTTTACTGTGATTGCTTGTTTACCTATGTAGATATGTATTTTCAAGACTTCTGAAAATAACTTTGACTGTCATTACATGTGTAAATGGCTAGCTGGATCCTTACCTACCATTTGTGTGTGCAATTACCTGACTTTCACATACAATTGCATGCATAAATGTATGCATGAAATTATGCATGGACCCCTGCTTTTCATTTTGGAACTTTGGCCCTATGAAGTATGGCAAGCTTTACCTTGGAGGGTATTCATGTAATCAAAAGATTAACCCCCCTGAATATGATTCACAAGTAATGCTAGTTTCAGAGTTTTTAATTACATTCTGTATATTAAAAATGTTGGCTTATGGAGAATAATAACCAAATAATTTTGAGCAACCAGATCAGAGATTCTTTTTTAAGAGAAAGTATGTTGAAATCAAAAGGGAGTTGTATTCGTATTAATATGAGTACGGTTAATTCAGTTACATTGTTCTGGTGTCTTTTTCAACAGTAATATATGCATTTTAGCCTTTTAGTTATTGCGAAGTAATATGTTTTTATTGTGTGAATCATTCTAGTTTTTTATCTATTTTGTGTGGAGACTAATAAATGTCTTTTTTCTCCTTCAGATCAAAAAGGTTGCCATATATTTGTGTCGGAATAACACTATTCAAACAATGGAAGAGTTGCTTTTTGAACTTCAGCAGACCGATCCAGTAAACCCGATTGTTCAGCATTGTGATAATCCACCTTTTTACCGCTTTACTGCCAGCAACAAACCCTCAGCTGTTGCTTCTGGTATGGGCTAAGCGTTATTATTTCAGCTATGACTTTATACCTTTTTTTTTAGTCTCAGTCTCTTTGTTCAGTTCCGTTCAGTAATACAAATAAATAATAATGACACCTATAAGTCACAGCACCTACTAGCATGGCTGCATGCTCTGCAAATCCCATGCACTGAATGACCGATTCATTTAGTTGTTCTCTCTCGTGCAGCCTACTATACTGCTTCTCTAGAGCTCAGCAGGATGTTGGTGAGACTGAGCTTGAGATCTGGTGTATGTCATAGTGTCATGTTCTCTTTGACCACCATGTTCTGAAAGTTGCATTAGACTTTCAAAACTAGGACTGCAACACAGTTAAGGTGCTAGCTTGTCAATAAACTGGGGCGCTGGGGAATACCTGCTGTGATCATGGGATTGCTGGTGGCACACTGTTCTGTAATATTAATGATAGAAGAACCAATTCAGATAATTGATGAACTGTACCAAACCCTGACTGCTTCTTTTTAAACCGGTAAGGAACAGTGAACACAAATTTACAGGACATGCAAGACTCTGAGAACTCACTTTTTTTAGGATGTGAAACAAGACCCTAAAACACATGTACGTGTTGCATGGATATGAATGTGTGTGTAGTATATGCATAATGACCAATTTTACTGTGGCCTTTGACATAAATCTAAAGGTAAAAATTTTTATTGTTATTTTAGTATGAAAGAAAAGAAGCTCTTGAAAAGACTGTACGTTATTTAATGGGTGTGCTTGTTGTCATCTCGCATACAGGAACTACCTCTAGCAGTAATACTGTTGTAGCTGGCCAAGACAGTTTTCCTGATATAGAGGAGAGCAGGATGGTGAAGGAAACTGATGAAAGGTTTGTAATCTCTTTCTCCAAAATGAGCGCATTTTAAAAAATATTTTAAGGGCCAGATTGACTTCAGCTCATGTCAATCAACCAAGCTTCATTGACTTCAGTGGAGCCACACTGATCTAGACTGGCTGATGATCTTTCTGATCATAAGCATTGTTTTTATCCCAGGAGGAATGTTTTTAAATAGTCATTCAGGAAAGCAGGCTGCAGAACCTCCTGTTTCAAACAGTTGATTAGTAACATAAGCCTAATATTGTAGGTACAGCTTAGGTATGTGTGACACCTAAATTGAGCAATTTGTGCTACATAGCTCATGTTGTAGGAACCAACTGGACAAGAGAAAGAGAAGTGGGGGAATTTACTGAAAAAAAGAATTTTAAAATCTTTTTAAAATATTGGGTTTGATCCCATACTCTTTTAGTCCATGAAAAGAGGACGAAAATCTGTGTGCAGACCAGTGTTCCTGACTGTGCAGAGAAGGTCAGTGTCACTCTTCCTTTTTAGGATGAGATGGCAGATATTGGAAGGACCATTTTCTACATCTGAAAAATATTCTGCCTAGCAATCCTGAGTCAATTAATATATTTCCAGCCGTCTGCATCTTTCATTTCTTATTGTATGTATATAATCTTGATACACTGGAGAACTGGGCTATGGACAACAAAATGAAATTCAACAAAGACAAATGTAAGGTGCTACACTTAGGGAAGAAAAACCAAATACACAAATACAGAATGTGGGATAACTGGCTTGTCAGCAGCACTGCTGAGAAGGATTTGGGAGTTGTTGTAGATCACAGCTTCAACATGAGTCAACATTGCAAAGTTGTTGCATAAAAAGCAAATGCAATTTTAGGTTGTATTAACAGGCATAGCATGCAAGTCATGAGAGGTGATAGTACCGCTCTACTCGGCACTGGTTAGGCCTCAGCTGGAATGCTGTGTCCAGTTTTGGTCACCAATGTATAGAAAGGATGTAGAGAAACTGGAAAGGACTCAGAGGTGAGCAACAAAGATGATCACAGGGATGGAATGCAAGCTATACAAGCAAAGGCTGAAGGAACTGGATACATTTAGTTTGGAAAAGAGGAGGTTGAGGGGGGGATATGATAGCTGCCATAAAAAAAGATGGAGAAAAGTTGTTGTCTCTTGCCATAGAGGGCAGGATAAGAGACAACAGGTTCAAACTACAGCATAGCAGATTTAGATTAAATCTCAGGAAAAACTTCCTACCTATCAGAAAAGTAGGACAATGGAACGGACTGCCTAGGGAGGTTGTAGAAGCTCCTTCGCTGGAGGTTTTCAAAAGGAGGCTGGATAGCCATCTGTCTTAGGTGGTTTACACACAACAAATCTTCCATCTTGGCAGGGGGCTAGACTAGATGACCTTTGCAGTCCCTTCTAACCCTATGATTCTACATATAAGAAGATTACAAAACGGTAGAGTCACAAGTTAAAGGGGTACACCATATCCTGTACCACAGAAAAGTCTATTTTCTTTTCCTTACTAAATCCCTTTTCTCTTTAGATGGGAAATACATATGAGCTGCAATAACGTCAGTGAAGGTCCCCATTAATGTTGAGTTAGTTTATGGTTCTTGATGTCCACTAGCATCATTTCAAAGTCAAGGGTCTGAGCCATCCTCCAGTGGATCAGGGCTCAAATGAGCAAGAACAATCAGCTCAGAGATCTTCTCCTGTAGTTCCCCTGTTTATAACCACTTTGAACTATCTGTTTGTTAGATCTTATAAATATAAGAGGTTGCCATTTTCTCAGCTCAATCTCTTACTTTCTCTATAGAGTAAGCTTGGTTAGGCATTCAGATGTCATGCTGTGGAGCATGGTATAAAAACTTCATATAACAGAGTGTGTGCCAAAGCCGATAGGGGTCTCAGAATAGGGAGCTGAAAGATGCCGTGTGTGAGCAACAAGAAAATAAATGTCTTTGCCTTTGAGTAGCCTTCTTATTTTTCCCTACAAAAATTGTTTATAGGTATATTGTATTAATTGGGGGTTTTTTTAATGGCAGAGCGAACAACTGATACAACATTTTTCAATATGTGACCCAGTTGTAACTTGCCAGCAATTTCACAGTTTCCTGTCTCACAAAATTAATTTACATATGGCCTAACCAATTTTTCAGTAATAGTGTGCTGTGATACTTTTGTATTCTCATGTCTGATTTTGTAAGCAAATAGTTTTTATGTGAGGTAAAACTTGGGGGTATGCAAGACAAATCAGACTCCTGAAAGGGATACAGTAGTCTGGAAAGGTTGAGAGCCACTGCTGTATTTAAATACACAGATGTAGAATTGTTCTTAGTGTTCTCTTTGTAGTCCTTTTTTTTTTTTTTAGATAATAAGGTGACCAGAGCAGATGTTGTGGATAACTTTGTCTCCAACAGTCATTGTTCTTTAAATATGATTATGATAAAGAATTTATACAGTAAGTAATAGAAGATTTGCCATCTGCTCTCATAATCACAGGCCTGTTTGGGAATAACATATAATGAATCTAAGTAGAAAATATTTTAGTTTTTGTGTTGAAGACACAATATCACATAAAAGGAAGCCCTGAGTAATGTGTGAAATGCCATTTACTTGTCTAGAAAATTTTTTGGTCTGGCACAATGTCATCATGCTGCACCATAGCTTTTCAAGGTGATGATGTTGCATTGTGTCTTGTTTTGTGATGTGATTTCTTTCTCTGAATTCACAATACTGTATTGTTTTGATATCAATGCATTTTGACATTATCATGTTATATTGTGACAGTTATGTGTTTGTATTGTCGGCATTTGTTACATGGTTTTCAAAGTGACCGCTTTCTCTTATTTGCAGTCTGTCTAGCTATATTCTTTCATCATCCAGGCAGCCCTCTTGAAATTATGCCGTTCAGATGAGGATAGAATTTGACATTGTGCATTTCTTCATATATGTTTTCCCCTCAAAATATATCTTTTAGTACACTTTTCAGGGTAGTTTTAAAGAATGCCACAATAATATGCCAGTTACCCTTATTTGTATGCATACAAAAACACTAAACTAAAAGAATGTTATTTAGGTTGTAAAGTCAAGTACTTGAAAAGTAGGAAATGCCATGCTTAAGGTGGTCCGTGCAAAATTGGTCAGAGTAAGCATTTACTACAGTAGTTTGCTTTGTCTAAATAAAGTATTTAATGAAGATTTTTCTTGTATTTCAAGGTTCAGTAATGTAATCAGAGCACATACTCGACTAGAATCAAGGTACAGTAATAGCTCTGGAGGATCTTATGATGATGATAAAAGTAAGTGCTGACATTCCATTTTATGCAATTTATTGGGTGTATTGGTGGGAAAGGAAATGTTTCTTGTGACTTGAAGAGAACACCTGATAAAGCTGTCTGTATAGTCTAGTCACAGCATAGGAAGCTATCATTCCAGTGGCTTATCTGTGTCACCTTGTTACCTTTAAACTGATGTTATAGATAATTCCTTTTGTTAGCTCAGGACTCAGTAGAGCAGGGGTCTCAAACACACGAGGTTCTTTCGTGCGGCCTGCCAAGCTCCCCATGCCCCCCCCCGCCCCTCTGCCTACCCCGTGGCGCCGCGAGCCCCGCACCGCTCCCTGAAGCGGCTGGAACTATGTCCCTGCAGCCCTGGGCGGGCGGGGGGGAGGGAGAGTAGAGGGCTCCGTGCTCTCGCTTCCAGACACTGCCCCCCGCAGCTCGCGGAGCGGGGCCAGGGGCCAGGGGAGGCAGGAAGGGAGCCTTCCCTGGCAACGGTGCGCAGTGCTGCCACCCCGGAGCCACTCTAGGTAAGTGGCGCCGGGCCGGAGCCCGCCCCCCTGTCCGGAGCCCCCTGCCACATCCCACACCCTCCCGCACCCCAACTCTCTGCCCTGAGCCCCCTGCCACACCCTGCACCCCAACCACCTGCTGCACCCCTCATCCCTCCTGAACCCCAACTCCCTGCCCTGAGCCCCCTGCCGCACCCTGCAACCCGACCCCCTGCCGCACCCCTCACCCTTCCTGCATCCCACACCCCAATTCCCTGCCCTGAGCCCCCTGCCGTACTCTGCACACCTCCTGCACCTCACCTCCCTGCCCTGAGCCCCCATCACACCCCGCACCCCTCCTGCACCCCCTGGGGGCAGGGAGGTGGCAGAGTTGGGGTGAGGACTTCAGGGAAGGGGTTGGAATGGGGGCAGAGAAGGTGCAGGAAGAGGCGGGGCAGGAACGAGGCCTCATGGAAGGGGTGGAGTGGGGGCGGGGCCGGGGGCAGCAAGGGGTGGGTGTCAGTGATGCGGCCCTCGGGCCAATGCACTAGTCCTCATGCGGCCCTCCTGGTCATTTGAGTTTGAGACCCTGCAGTAGAGCCTTTGCACAGGCAGAGCTTCATTGGAATGGGGGAAGTGAGATACCATGTAAGCAGCAGTGCCTGGCTGGAGGCATTTTCACTTTGAAAATTATAACAGTTCTAGGTGCACTCTGGGGAACACACCGAGCATCAGGACTTGCCACATCAATATAACAAAAGTAACCAGCACTCTCCCTCAGTACCTGGAGATGGGGAGCAGGTCCAGGGACCCACCAAAACATGTCATGTCAGCAAATCATATCCCGTCCCTTCCATTCCCCACTACCTGTAACTTAATTATGGCTCCACGCTTGTGTTGGGCGAGAAGTAGAAAGGGCTCGCTGTTTCTGTCACCCCCTCACACCTACTCTGAACTGACCATAAATTGGCCCTTGGTATTTATTTAGTAAAGAGTATCAAGAAACACCTGGTATTTCAGTTATTTACTAAATTATGTTAGGTGTTTGGGAAGTCTGGTAGTATGAATTCGTTTTTGCAATGGACTGTGAAGAGGCTGATACTCTGATTTCATTTAAACCCTAAACTGCATCTTAGAAAGGCCAGTCCTTTATACAGTCCCTTATTCCTGACTGATAAAAAAAAAAAAAAAGTCATATGGTGCAATGGCCCTGGTGGTATGTCTTAGTGTTAAATAGATCAATGATTTGGCTCTGGCCATACTGTACTGTCTGGTTCAACATGAATAGTTATTGTTCTGTATATTAAACAGATTATTCAATAATAATAAATCATAGCTATATAGTGCTTTTCATGTGCAAAGCACTTGGCAAACATTAATTAATGATCACAAGTTTTATAAGGCAAATAAGTGATATTTCTGTATATTTATAGATAAATATCTTGTTTATTAATGTAACAACAGCTTTTCACTAAACCTAAACTAAATAGATATTTGAGAAGCTTAATAAATATTTTATCCCTATTGTAAGAATTGTATCACACTGAAGATGTTTTTCACATTCCTTATTTCCTCCTCTTAATTCAGCAGATTTAATTTTTGGCTTCTTCGTAGCATCACTCAGCAGGGCACCTGCTGGTTGTTACAAGAATGTGTCACTGCTAGGAGGCCCTGTACAACAGATGCCTTGCCATGGCAGTTATGTTGGCTGAACTTTACTCTCATTTTTTAGGAGAGAGTCCATTGCTTGGTGTTTTGTGATCTGGATCCTAAGCTACTAAAAAATGACAAAAGGAATTCAGCTGCAGCCTATAAAATTCAGTGCTGCCTGCTTGGACTCTGTGTTACATTTTCAGCATAGTGAAGGAGGAATTAAACGTGCTTCACTTGTTATTGCAAACTCATGTCCTCTTGCCAAATATTCTAAACTGAATTTAGCATGCACATTGTTTTAGATACTAGATAATGAAACTATTTGGTTTTTAAATTATTACAGACTAAAGCATGTTTTAATATTTTACCATGCAGATGATCCTGTTTCTCCATATACTAGCTGGCTGTTGAATATTGTGGAGACCAAACAGCCACAACCCTTGCCAATGCCTTACAATGGAGGATGCTGGGCACCACTTGTTGACTACCTCCCAGAAACTGTCACACCACGGGGACCCCTTCATAGGTGAGCAATACTGAAATAAGTCTCCGCTAATTAGATAATCGGTCAACAATAATTGAATGGCTCCATTACCCAGCACTTAAGAAAAATCACACACGTACATTTTACTGCTTCCCAACATTTCAGTGTTAAATCAAAAGGCCTTGCAATTCTAGTGCCTTGTTAAAACTGTAGCTTGTTTATTTTGCATGAGATCAAATGTACTGATAGGAATTGGATTAAAGCAACCATACCTGATTCACAGAAGCTGAACATTGTCTTCCCCAAACCTAACAGACTGTTATTTATAGCACTTTTTTGTGCTATTCTAATTATGCTATACATATGCTAAAACTCCTCTTTTACATAATCTATATTGACATTAATAATATTATTTTCAATAATGGTGCTTAACAGCTAAATACAGTAACTTTAGGTATTGTGATATCTTTTTGACATTAATAACATTCAAAGGGAAGCTTAATTTGGGAAAATGCTGAGGATTTTGTGAGTCCTCCAGTATAGCTTTGTATCAATTCATTTTTCTTGCTATACATCCCATGTACTGTGATAATTTATGGCAAAAGCTGGTCAATAGCACTTCTGTGACTGTCTTAATGATTTATCACTTCTTTTATCATTATTAATGTTGTCTTTAGTATTGCTACTTCTTTAAATAGTGGTTTGGGTGTAGAAACTCAGGACCTAGTAAGCATTTGCAGTGACCAGTGGAGCCAGCCAGTGTGCAGGCTGCCTGCCTCTGCCAGTGGGCCAGGGCCTCAGTTCCCGTGAATCAAACCTGCTACATTCTAGTCCAGGGCCTCTTTTGAGTGCTGAATGGCCATCATGATGAACTGTACCAAACTGTATGGTGGATTAGTAATGGAAACAAGAAGGGAAACTAGGATAAGACCATCAAACTAGTTTCACTTGGGATCCAAGTCAGGGTTTGAATTTCATTCCCCAGAGCTGAAAGGCTAGTGCATTAACCCATGTCTTCACAATTCTCATGTGATTGCATAGCATATTACTGTTGTCCAGCTCCCAGAAAAAGTTTTTCAATTGATTTTGTGATTTCATTTATTAGGTGCAATATTGCTGTTATTTTCATGACTGAGATGGTAGTGGATCACAGTGTGAGAGAAGATTGGGCCCTTCACCTCCCTTTATTACTTCATGCTCTTTTCTTAGGTAAGACCAATACAACAGGAATTAAAACGTGGGTATACTCCAATACCATTAGTCAAACTGAAGCTGTGGAGTTAGCATTATTTTAAATATATTTTCTCTTGTGGCCTTTTTTTCCCCACTTTACTTTATTAGTTCATCATTTCAGGGTTCTCAGAAGCAGAAATGTTGAGCATACTAGAGTAATTAGAAAGTGTATAGGCATTATCCAATTCATGTGGTTGATACATACTTTCTGTAGGTCATTAGAATAGCTAGACATATGGAATGAATTCATAATAAGTGGTGGTCTCAGTCCAGTTCTCAGTGGATCAATGTCCACATTCTAAAACCCACCACCATAATTGCAACTAATTTCCACCCTGATTGGTAGTCTCAGCATAGACAGCAAGGATTGAATAGCCATGGAGTCTGAGCTAGAAGATTATAGCACATTTGTAGAACAATGGGGGAAGTGTCACTACCCATTATCTACCTATGTCTATGGACCAAGAAAAGTACTTCTGGCTCCATTGCGGTCAGTCTGGTACCTTTCACAAGCACTAACAAGATGCAGAAAAAATCCAGAAAGAGAAATCAGAGTTTCATTAGAGGGCTATCCAGATTTAAAAGGATACAAATCTCTTTAATAAAATGGATGTCATGGTAAAATTACCATTCATGCCACTTTCCTCTCCTCTCTCTCTGGGCTTGGCTACACTTGCAAGTTACCGCGCAATAAAGGAGCCCCGGGCGCACTAGCTCACTACCCATCCACACTGACAAGGCATGCAGAGCGCTCTGACTCCACAGCTACAGCGCTGCTGGTACTCCACCTTGGCGAGAGGAATAATGTTTGCTGCGCCTTGGCTACAATGCCCAGGCGTCAGTGTGAACGAGGTGTTGCGTTACTGCGCTCTGATCGGCCTCCGGAAACATCCCATAATCCCCTTAAGTCAAGTGGCCACTCTTGTCATTGTTTTGAACTCCTGTAGGAATGCAGAAATGCCCTTTCAAAGCTCTGTTTCTGACAGCTGGCATGCAAGCCGTTACGGTGGAATGCTGTGTGTGAGAGAGAGAGGCGGGGGGAGGGGGAGGTCTCCTGCTGTCTGAACTTACAAGACAGCATGCTGACATGCTCTCAGCCCCCCAAAACCCCACTCTCTCTCCCCCCACATACACACAACACACTCCTGTCACACTCCACCCCTCCCATTTTAAAAGCACATTGCAGTCACTTGCTGGGATAGCTGCCCATAATGCACCACTCCCAATGCTGCTGCAAGTGCCGCAAATGTGGCCACGCCAGTGCGCTGTCAGCTGTCAGTGTGGACAGATTGCAGCGCTATCCTTAATGCGCTCTACGAAAGCTGGTTTAACTCAAAGCGCTCTACATCTGCAAGTGTAGCCATGCCCTTAGATGTCGAGACTACCATGAATGTCTATGCAACATATGGTGATTTTCATAGACTATTATATAAAAAATCTATCTTTTGTGTTATTCCCAAGCAATTTACAAAGACAGTCTTAAAATATGTTATAGGCAGCATCAAAATGTAGGTTTAAAAACAAAAATGGATTCAGCTTTTCACACAGTTGGGAGCTGACTCCCCAAATATAGTGAAAAGTTGCTGAAAGTAAAAAGACTCTGTAACATCAGTCTTGTGTGGACAAAACAAATAGCCAGCAACTGGTGAACTGATTGAACGGCTGACGAATTATAGTTGTAGCAGTTCTGAAAAACAGACGGGCCTTTTTAGTTAGAAATTTATTAGTAATAAAACTCAATTATGGGGGGGAAGGGAATAGCTCAGTGGTTTGAGCATTGGCCTGCTAAATCCAGGGTTGTGAGTTCAATCCTTGAGGGGGCCACTTAGGGATCTGGGGCAAAATCAGTACTTGGTCCTGCTAGTGAAGGCAAGGGGCTGTACTCAATGACCTTTCAGGGTCCCTTCCAGTTCTATGAGATAGGTATATCTCCATATATTATTTATTAATTTGAGTCAATGAATCAATGAAGGGACTTGAGAATAGGAATAAAAACAATATGCAGCACGATGAAAGACTCTAGCCTTTTCATTTTGGTTGAGAGACAGTCAGTGTATACTAGCCATCACTGAGCAATGCAAGTAGATATTTGCAGAAATAGATTTCTGATATTACAAATGCATTTATCAAAATTTCTTTACCTTTTTTGTCAGGTAATATCTTAATATTACAGTATTTCATAAAGACTCACATTTAAATTAACTTTAAATCTTCAATTTTATTATGGTTTAGTTTCATTACATCTCTATAGATCCCCCTTGTGTGGGTGTATGGAAGTAGTACTAAATGTGTTAGCCAGAGGTGTGAATGTGACTTGCATATGAAGAAATCATGTCATGCTGGAATGTGAGAATGCACATGGGAAGGAGTGTATGAGGAATATGATTGAGAAAGAAACTAGAGATATTTGGGCAGTTAAACTGAGCATGTGCCTTTTCACATATTGGAAGGAATAGGAAAATATTTAAGTGAAGGGAATCTACTGTCGAAACATAGGTAAAGGATAGAATGGTCTGTAATATTGATAATGAAGGGGTTAAAAAGATTTTCTGTTAATTGAGTCCTTGTATAAGATGTTGGATTGACAGCACCAGTTACAGA